ATCTGGTTTTCCGCCCATTATTGTTGCTGTATGTTTATTTTTATAATTGGATTAGGCATTGCCATAGTTTTTAAAATAGGTTGCTGGGCATATATTTTGCATTAACATATCTGTAAGAAATCTATTTTGAGGATTACTTTGCCATTGGTTTTCTTGCCACAATCTGAATTAATAAAATTTCTTGAAGAAAAGCCTTGAAACATTCATTGCAACAGTAAATCCCTGCTATAAACTTATGACAATTAAATTTTCTTTTGAGAATACTGCCATGTTTCTCAGAGATTTCTGTTTTAACATTTTTAGCATAAATTAAGTGCCTTAAGCATCTTTGTCTGTTCTAGAAGTACATAGAAATAAAACAGTTACAATATATTCTTATTTTTCTTTGCATCTGGGTATGTCATCTCTGAATTTTTAACCAAATCTGCCCTAAAGTTTTGTATAGTGCTTTCTATTTAAGAATTTTAAGAAAAAAATAAATTTCTTTTTCTAAGATCTTCAAACCCGAACTTTTAAGTAAGTTTTCTTGTACTTTTTAACCTTGTTTGAAAGTTTTGATGAGTCAATGCTTGCAAGTTTAAAGACTTTAGAGAGATGCATACTGGCTTAGCACTTATGAAGTTACTCTATTGACCGAAAAAGGTTCCTGAAAAGTTGAAGTTTCGGATTAAGATAACTAATCCTTGTTTGTGAGAATTATATGTTTTATTGATCATATGTCAGAAAGTGGTTTTATTTTTTAATGAAATTGCATCCTGTTGCCAGGCAAAGGACAAAAGGGTGGTTGCTTCGCGAGTAGAAAATGCAGTGAATAAGCTGCAAGAAGATAACGAAATTATGAGAGAGGCAATTTTGTCAATGCGTACACAAAGTGCTAGTACTGTGGATAGATCGCAAAGCTCCATGACGTTGAGAAGCGATACAAGTATATCACAGCAAAATGCCAAGTCCTTGTCTTTCATCAGCAATAATGGAGCAACATCAGAACAGGAGATTACACTAGCTATCGAAGATTTCGCCGTTTCGAAGATGTTGACAAACGTCGCAACTCAGACGTTCGATACGGCGTTTGTCTCATGCGAAGCGTGCGCACGAATGCAACAAAATCTTATTGACGTGGGTACTGCCATGATATCGCTTTGCGAATCGCAAGGACTGCCGTCTTCGCTGGCGAAGCAAAAGAAAATGTTGAAGAAATCACTGATGGCGGCAACAGACGTATCTAGGTGGACCATTGAGCAAAACCGTGACATCGAGAGAATAAACAAACATTTAGAATATTTATATAGTAGAATCGAACCATTGAAAACTGACCTTGAAAAGTCAAGACAAACCTGCAAGAAACTCAAAGACCAAGTTAAAGAATTAAGTGATGGAAAAATCGATATTGAAAAAGATTTGGTCGAAAAGGAAGTAAATTTCAATAAGAAGATAAGCGTGCTGGCCAATCAACACGAGAAAAGTGAAAGCAAACTAAAGAAAGAACTAGAACAGCTGAAGACCGATAAAGAGCAAGTGGATTGTCTTTACGACAAACTCGAGAGTGAAAACAAGAGCAGAAAGAAGCAGAATATGCAATTAGGTATAACTCTTGCATTCCATATTGAATTTTATATTTAAATTCTGTTTACGTATTTCCATTTGCTAAGGGAGCATTACTGAAGAGCGGGGGCATAGCGTGCAGGGGGGGGGGGGTTGGGGGGTGTACACCCCCAACTTTCAGAAAACTTGTTGGTAGAATTAAATTTATAACGAAATATTAATGTAACAAAGAATTTCTGTCGGTAAAATATGGTTTTGCATCTCTTACACCCCCCAGCGAGAATGGCCACGCCACGCCACTGCTGAAGAGGAGTTTCTTTTAGATATCTAAAATTCATATTATTTTCCAATATTTTCATAGAAGATGCCTCCTTGCTTCAGCTGGTGGGCTTTCCATTCCCCTGTACCTTGGAAACCGAAGCATTGTTGCCCCATTGTTATACATTTTCTTTGGTAGCGTAGAAACTAAAAATGGCTTTCTGACTTTTATAAGAATAGACCCAAAGTTTTTAGGTGTAAGACCATTTGGGGCTTTTAAACCATCTTTCAACATTGATCAATAACTGAATGATCTTCGGACCAAAAGTATAGGTATGAATTTTAGTCCTTGGATTTGGAGTTTTTGCAAGTAATTCCTTTCAGCTGAGCCACTGTTTCCCAAAACAGAGCTACAATGACTAAAGTTTGGTGTGTCAAGAGGCAAAAGATTTTTAGTCTTTTTCAGAAGGCCTTCAGATATAGTCGCTCAGAAATTGAAATTATTAGTTAAAAGAGAAAAAGCTTTTTTTAACAGAGCTTTTTATACATTGGCTAGAGAACAGGTATTGGTTGAAGCAAAATAAGGAATATTAAAAGATTTTTTTCTATTTGCTTTTTTGACTGCGTTTTGTCCTCCAGTTGATCATCATTCAACGTTGCAGATTGGCTACCACCTCTTTTTACTGCTATAATTTGCATACTATTTTTTTTCTCTTCAGATTTTTATTTACTTCCTTGTTGCAGAGAAAGAAAATGCAAAGATCTCAGCCGAACTCAAGCAAGAGACATCGGAGAAAAAACGATTGTTGGACATCGAACAGGAATTTCATTTGATAAAAGATGAACTGACTAAAGTCCATGAAAAACTGTGCGAGACAGAAGTTGAAATGGGCAAGACACAAACAGAAAACAAGGCTTTGGCAAAGCATAACAAGGTGACAAATAAATGGCGCTTGCTCGCAATTCTTCCATTTTTTAGGTGAAATTTGAGGAAAGATGGCAGATTTCTACCGAACTAATATGATAGCTCTAATCGCGTTTATTGATAAAGCTGATTTTAAGTAAGTAAATGATCTATCAATTAACTCAAGCACTCTTTAAGTCACGACTGCAACGATAGTGCATCTGCCCTGTTTCATTTCATTTGGGCCTGGAATCTGTTTACGTTAGACCAAGATATCATGACTTGTGTAGACAGAAGACCTTTTACTACCTTAACTTTTCCCTCCCCATTCCAAGGTTATTTGTCCAAGCTAGTAAGGGTTAAGTTTCATATCTCATGTTTTTTGCAGGCAATTCAAGCGAAACAAGACTCTCTACTTGAACGGGCGAATCAGCTGGACCAAGAATGTGAAGATTTACAAAACAAGCTCGCGGAGATGGAAGAGGAGCGGGAGGAGCTTATAAAGGAGTGTGAAGCGAATAAGCAAGAGAATGAAATGGCTGCTAAAACGACAAGCGAACTTCAAGTAAGAAAGATTATTCTTCAAAATAAACAGCCAGTTTGGTTTTTCGTATCAAAATTTGAAAACATCCTAAAAATGTTTTGACATTGGTACATTTTCTTCTTTTCTTTGCACATTTCCCAGGGCATGAAATTCCAATATTCATAAAAATCACCAAATTCGTATCTGATTATCGAATGAAACTGAACAAGAGGATATAGGGCAGAGCTGATTGGATGTGCAATAACTGATTGCTAAGGACAAAAGGCTGATTGGCTGTTTAATAGCCAACTCCTAAGATGGGAAACCTGATTGGCTGTGTTGCAACCAGTCGCTATCCTCTTATTTTCCTTGACCCGTTTCAAGCAAGATTTGATCCTCCTGTTCCATGTCTCTTTTAAAAATAAGGCGAGTTGCTTTGAAGAGTTAAATGGCACTTTAGAAGCGTCCTTTGTCTGACATTTACCACAAATTAGAACATTGAATGTTAATTGCGAAGATTTATCTACGTTTTCTTTCCAGAAGTGGGCCAAAGTAAACTTTTGTGGTCTATTTCCTACTTGTTCACTTTGGTAATTCACGAAAATTAGCTTTAGTTTGCAAAATTAATATCTCCATTAGCCCGGGCCTTTGTTACTTGATAGAACCTCAAATTCGCACGACCCAGCAATGCTATTTTTGAACCCCTCAGGTTCTTGTCAATCAAAAGGAAAAGCAAAAGGAAGAACTGGAAATGGAAGTGAAAAATCTTCAGGAAAAAGTAGCTGTTTTAGAAGAGGAGATTCAGGATGCCAGAAAACATCTTACTTTGTTGAGTGAATTCCCAGTTATTGGTCATAGCTCCGGAAGGGATGTTTCTAGTAGCGTTGAAGATATCATTGCTACAAAGACGATGACAGAATTGTCTTTAAAAGATGAGATGTCAAAGCAAATCAAAGCAAATACAATAAGAATTGCAGTGCTGGAGGAGCAGAATAATTCACTCAGAAATTCTTTAGCGAAATATGAACAATGTCGCGCTGAACTTCCAAAGGAAATTGTGAGTAAGCTCCTTTCAATTGTTCTATCGAATTGTAGAAATGAAGTCAGACTTTCTAAAAATTGCATTGTGGGTCGGCAAATACGCCGATTTAGTTCAGCGTGTTACATATATCTTTAAACTTCTACTTTTTTCTGAAAAGGGCAGGGGCGGACACTTGGTCAAATATTGGGGGGGGGGGCAAGCCTATTGTTTTAATAAGATGACGTCACATTCCCCATTGTTTTGGAATAAAAGACCATTGTCCTCTAAAGTATTGGGGGGCGGTCACCCCCCTCGCCCCCCAGGTGTTCGCCACTGAGCCTTCAAAATTTCTGTCTCAAACTGTTAAATCTATAACTTGGTTGAAAAGACTACCATTACCGATGGATATCCACTAAAAACTGTCCATTATTTGCTGGATCTTATGCCTGGGAAATTTCTGTTACCATACATCTTTTGTTACCATACATACCTAACATTGTTAGATTAACAACACCGCACTTCCTCATCATAAAATTTTCTCTGTGCAATATTGAATTTGCTAATGGAAAGTATGGTGCGATGATGTTGTTTAAGTGGTGCAAAGAAGTGGCGAAACAAAGGGTTTATACCTAGTAATACCATGTTTTGATTTTCTTGATCATCAAATAAATGACGTCATAGACGCCGTCATAACGGTCTTCCTTTTAACTGGGTATTTGAATTTTCTGTTTTGATCTTAAACTATCTTGCTTGTTTTTTCAATAATTTTTCCGTAACTTTCAAGACAAATTTTTCCGTTGTACAACTGTGAGACACTTTAGTACGAGAGTCAACGTAATATACTTGGCCTGTTTAACATCAACTGCCGTCATTTTTAGTTTGATGAACTTAACTTGACTAAACTATATTTCGGAACATTATGTTACTTTTGCTTAATTTAACTTTCTACATTTAGACTGAGAAATTTAGCATATAGATTGTTGTAAGTTGTAAAACTTGCTAAAGTTCATGTTTGGCAATAACTCAGTTTTACTTTTCGTTTTTATCAGCCTAAAGATAGAGTGCCTCTTTGGGAGAATGGAGAAATACCTCACATCGAGACTGACAAGGCAAATCACGCATCCTCGTCAAGGACCCGGTATGTATCAAATCAAAACCAGCTGCGGTCATTTCGAAGGCCGTTCTAGTAGTTTTCTCATAATAAGTTAGAGATTCTCATAGTCGGGTCTTTAACGGCATACAGCGGCATAGCTAGGAGAAAGGTGTAGGGGATGTGACATCCCGAAATTTTTCATGAATTTATCGGTAAATCTTCAGTTTGTCCACAATATCGTTAGTTGGTGGGAAAAATCTTCTATCGGTAGGTGAAATGGCATCTAGATTTCTCTTCATCTTTTTCTTATGACCCTTCATTCCCTACTCTGTAAGGTTTCATTACGCCGGGGAAGCTAATTTATGGCAACATTGATATATTTTTGTTAGTATTTCTAGGATTGGGAGTTGGTAAATTATTTAAAAATGGCAATCATCTAGAAGCAAATCAGGGAGACCAAAGTTGGTGTTTACAGTAGCTAGAGTCTATAGCAACTCTGGTGTAAGGTCGGTTTAACAGAGCAGCTCTGGCACGATTTTCCCTATTTAAAAGTGTTGTAAAATTATCACAGAGAACGTTTGCAATTTGGTATGCAAACGAGGCGAACAGTTTATGCAATTTTAATGACTGAAGACAGAGCAATATTTCTGTACTACACAAAGATGCTGATTTCAGTTCAAAGTGGAAAGGAAAAATCGAGCCCCTGTATACCGCTTGGTCCTATTAAGATTTTTCAATTGCCTCCTCTTATCTGTAAAATTTATTCAACAATACAGAATGTTCCTTATTTATGCGTTCAATTTGTTCTCTCAGGCTCTCTGCGAAAACAGTGTTCGAGCCGGTTAGTTCAAGCTATTCCACAGAGTGGGTTGCAATAGAACCAAGCAGTCCCAAGCCTCCTTCACAGCCAAGAACTGCCACCAGCAAGCTGAACGAAAAGAGACAGACATACACATCGTCATCAGCCAGTGGTGGACACAAGTCACGTGGAAATAGCAACCACAGCCAGTCGAGATGGTCAGACGTAGCTGTTGTTGCCAAAGGGCAAGCAACGATAGGAAAGAGAGGTTCAGCACAGCAAAGGACTTTGGGAGATAGCTATGAACCCGCTGATGTGTACTCTTGCCCGGATTGTGACAAGATGTACTCAAATCAACGGGATTTACAAATACACAAGTCGTTTTGTTATGCAAACTTATAAGTTGAGCAACTGTAGTAGAAGGCCCGGTAAAATCGTTTTCCGTTAGGAGGGGCCCAAATGTGTAACCGCCTCGATATTGGTCCTCAAGTGATCAATTCTCTAGGGTAATGGACCGAGTTTTCAAGAATGAACCGGCTTTGCAAGCATGGAGAAGATATAGTTCCAGTAGCTGGAGAACAGTGCTTCCATTTTGAAGGATTCTTCTTTTCTTCATGAATTTTGGCTGATTGGAAGGAAAGGGGGACCATTTGTAAATTAGAAGGAATTAATAAGATTTTCTAAGAAATTGTGATGAATTTTCTGATTCAAAAATTAGAAAATGGCGTTATCAATCAGTGAGGGGGTCAATCAGGTACCGCTTTAGCCCCCCCCCCCTCCTCCACTTTTTGCAAAAAATGCCAAATATTAAGTCATAAACTAGCAGTAAAGCCTCTTTTTATACGGTTTAGCCCCCCTTTTTTAGACCCCCCACTTTTCTCAACGCTCCGCAGTGCCTGTCAATAACAGAGAAAGAGCTTCACGGTTTATGCAAACTTTTGCCAGTAAACCGACTTGGCAAGTTCAGTTATGATGTTTTTATATAACTGTTTTTACACATTTTGATTTGGGTTTCCTAAAGATCTCTAAATGTGTGAAATCAGTTAAATGTGTTTAAAACTGGCTAAGATATGGCAACCTTGGCTCTGTCCCCGTCAAATCATTGTAATCTTGTCTCTGTTCCAAATTTGATGACCCATGCCAAAACAGCAGAAAGGTGTAGCAAACGTAATATTATTTGTTGGCTATCGCTCGCCCGATCTGTAACATATCTAACTGATATTGCATACTTAGATATAATTCGCGGTGTTCTATTAAGTAATGTGGTGCAAAATGAAAAGTTCTAAAAATGTATTTATATGGCGTCACATTCAAAACTGCTCACCAATTCTTAACGCCTCGGAAGATTCGAAAAGTTTCGAAACAAACAAGGGAAAGTTTGGAAACTAGACGAAAGAAAATAGCTTGATGAAGCTCGTGTGTTCAAGGCAACGCCAGGAACAATTTTTTGAGTAAGTTGAAAGCGAAAATAACGGATGAAGGTTATCAATCCATATAAATCTAGCAACAGGGAAATCGGAAGGATTTTTCACCCATTATAGAAAGAATATTAAGCAAATAGAAGGATATTTTCGAGGATTTGATTGAGCAAAAATGGAAGAACTGCTGGAGAAAAATACCGACACATCTGCAGCATTACATCGTTTCAAACCAGCTATTTCGATCGTTTTCGGGGGTTAAACCGAGTGGTGTAGTGCTATCAAAATAAGGACGGTGGTTTTTGCACAAATGTTGCGAAAGAGACGAGCAATTTACAAATTTTCGACATTAACAAGGAGCTCTACACCCCTTGTGACACCCTTTACGGCCCCGTAACTTGCATCCTATACCGACTTTAGGAATGTATAAATCTGTCACGTTCTTGTCCTCGCTTCAAACAACCATCTGCTTTCTACCCTTATCTTTACTGATTGTAATTACAACTTGCTAGTTACCAGTTTTGCTTAGCCTTGCTGTAATTGATATCAGTATATGCTTGACCTTTGTTGAAGTGAATGTGAATTTGGAAATCCTAAGTTGAAAAGATCTCTGTTATTTAGTAGCATATGCTTCTGTTTACCACGTGTTTACTGCCGGAAAACTATTTATACGTTTTTATAGGCAAAAAACTGGCCTGTCAGTCACTCAACAATGGAATACTTTGTTTCGCAGGGTGGAGATATTCTCTATCTAATTCAACTCCACGTCATATTGCACCAAAAAAACAGATAAATTGCAGTCTTAAAGTACGATACTCTTTTATAAATTCGTTAATTTTTCCAAGTATAATTTTACTTAAATTCCTAGTTTTATTCTATTACATTGTACAGCACACGAGCTAGTATATTTAAAGTACAATGCCCGATAGAGGACTGGGTACAAATTGCTTTTGGGGAGTTTTCAAAACTTGATAAGCATCTTATCGAATCGTGTGTTTGTACCAAACTTCGTACTTGTCTCATAAGATGCACCATTCACCTTCACAAACAAATTGGACCAAACGAAAAGAATTACCATATATAACGATTTGCTTATAGGTCAAATCACATGATGTGTAATTGTATTCTACTCACTTCGCTCCCAGAAGCGTAACTTCCGGTCATTTACCAGAATGCTCCAAAGGCTTAAAATGATTAGTGGCCTTTACTTTCATGATTTAAACTTGGACAATTTCGGCTAAGCCAATCATTATGTTATTATCGTTATTAACAAGGCTGTTATCATTATGCCAAATAGTTTTATTAGTGACGTAGCGAGCAGCTGCGTCCCCTTAGAAAAATAACAATGAAAAATTGTTGCTGGAGGCCCAGGGGCGTAACTTGGCCAATAGTTTTGGGGGGGTGAAAAGGGTTTCTGCCCTGCAAAAATGAGTGGTGCCCTGCAGACATCGTAGCAACGGTTTGTCTATAGGTTACTAGTGAAAGCTTTACCAGTGTACACTGGTCTTTACCATGGACAAACTTCTAAGCAATAAAAACAAACTTGAAACTTCATTGCCTATGAAATTTTTATTTCTCTACGTGAGCGTAAATTTTTTTTAAATTCACTTCATTTAACGTTGGTTTGCAAAATTAAGCTAGTAAACAGCTAATTGGGCACGATACGTAGACACCTGCAACGAAATTTAGCCCAGTGGAGCGAGAGTCGAGTTAGTTGAGGTAGGAGGAGGACCCACATGGTTGGGTCCGACGTGATAGCAATAACTTTTGTAATATTATATGTTGTGTAGAAAGGGCTAAAAGCCTCTTTCAGACAAAAATTTAGCAAAATACTATTGTGCTAAAAGAACTGATTGTTTATTGAAAATATTATTGTTTATTGGGAAAAATAGAGAGGGGGATGTCATGCTAAAACTCTAGTGTTAGACGTTGGGGAAGGAAAGAAACGGCAACCTTTCGTTTCAGATTGCACGTAGTTGTGAATGACAGAGGAAGATGTTGTTTTGATTGGGAGAATTTTTTTCCTGAACAGAAATGTGCAGTTTCTTGTATCAAGAAGGCCATGTTTACACATCCAAAATTAAAACATTGCAATGATACAGAAAATGATTTACTGAATTAATGCAAATAAGAGAAAAATAATAAAAATATACGTGAAAAAGTTAGCAATTAGATGAAACAAAATTGGTATCTTAACGATTTATTATGTTTTTTAGTTCATGCACTGTTAAAAAGTAATAGAAAAAATGATAAAAAAATTCCTATCTTGACCAAAGTGAGGGACTTCAGCCCCTTATTCCCCCCCCCCAGTGACGCCGTGCTTGTCATGAAAATAATTTACAACTTAAATTAATTTGCATGACTCAACCTTGCCCTCATAAACATATGCATCAATCATTGCATCCATTGGCTATGACTTTCGGTAAAAAATGCTTTCGCTTTGCAAATAACGGAGCTTTTCCTTACATAACTGTTCCGTTCTCTAAAATGCAATGTCAGGAAGGGAGGTTCATAACAAATACGATATTTCCATTTCAAAATTCCTAAACGGCTTTTTACGAACTTCAGAGGTGGCATTTCTGCGTGGCAATAAAGCTCTTCTTGGCGCCCTGCGAAATCTTCGATTGCCCTGTGAAATCGACTATTTTTTGGATTGGGGGGGTGTCACACCCCCCCACACCCCCCCGGTAGTTTCGCCCCTGTGGAGGCCCCTAAAGGTTCGGGACCCTTTGTTATTTAACGAAAGGTAACTTTGGGCCGTTACTCCACTGAGTTTTATCTGTTTAACAATAATGCATGAACATTAAAATTTCAAAAGAAGAACTATACTTCTAAAAGTTAAGGCTAATAGCTTTGTGAAGTCGATTGGTAAAATTGTCCCATAGTAGTTATGTCTTATACCCAACCTCCATGGGATCAGGCAAATCATTCTGTTACACAGAATTTCAAATCATAGAAATTCGATAAGAAATAGTAGATTGCCAAGGTATACTGGGATAATGTTGGTATTTTCCTGCGCTGGGTTCCAGAGCGAGAAGGGATTTCAATGGTATGTGGAGAATCTTGGTCTAGGCTTACCCTGCGCACCCCACCTCAAGAAGGTGTATCTTCGTGATAATATATAACAAATATAAAATATAAATGCTTGTCAAGAATGATTTTTTCTTGGTAACTACAGAAAGGAGCCAAAATTTCATTAATATTCACCTCGGTTTCAAACCAAAGTGCTAATCAGGGCCCCTAGCGTCTTAAATAAATGGCACAAGAACGCATGGAGCAAAATAGAGAGAGTAACCCTAACAGAGTCAAAAAACGATGGAACAGCTTTGAAAGAAAACATTGAATTTTTAATAGAAACTTCTGAAAAAACTGGGGGGGGCAAACAAGGGGCAAAGAAAAATTCCATGGCTCTCCCTGCCCCCCGTAGAAATGCCACTGTTCATTGAATATGAAATTGCTTCAATTGAAAGACACCGGCATGATGTTATTGCCCAATTACATTATCCAAATGGGTCACGAAGTAGAAACCGTCGCTATTACTTTACTGAAAAACTGAGGGGACATGCAGCCCCTGTGCCAACTTTTTAGGCACACGACACCCGTCACTTACTCACAATAATCTGCCGCCAGTCTCACCTTACATGAGAAAATATAAAAAAAGCTAGAGATGTAAATTGTTCTTAACAAGTCTGAATGAATACTGTTAGCGTATGCTCGAAAACTGTATTGCTTGCTTTTTGCTATGGTTGAAGACGTTCGACACAAAGAAAGTTTCTGTTATATTGTGTTTAGATTAGATTTCATGAAATTACAGACAACAAAGTAATTTGCATCCTTTGTTGCTTCACACGTCAAGCAATCATTATCCATCAAAACACAAACATGCTAGCAATGCAGATGTTCCAGATGGAAGGTCGCAAACAATAAGATCCAATGTGGTTTAATACCGTTCTCCATGATTGATTGGAGATACGCCCATACACAAGGAGAAGGCCGGTGTAGTGAAGTGTTGTTTTGAAAGTGTACATTTGACAAGAGAGTCCATAAGTTGTCATTCAAGATGCCAAGCATAAGGAAGAAATTGAAGAAACTTACAAGCAGTAAGAAATCAAAAAGTACTAGTGATTTAGATCAAATGAAGCAGGGAGAATCGATTGAGGCCGTTGATAAACACCAAGAAGAAGATTCGAGGTCGTACATTTCGGAGGCCATTTCGGAGCGCACAGATGTATCGGCCTACGAGAACGAGTCAACTTACAGCTACGCCTCAGCGAGTGGTGAAAAGAAAAAAAAGAGGAAATTTAAACTAAAATTATCAAGCAAAAAGAAGAAAGGGAAACTCGTGAAAGATCCGGAGGGTAACGTACTTGTGAGGACTTTGTCGATAGAGCACGATCCACGTGGGTCAGGGATTCATAACATGGAAGATGGTGACAGCTTGAAGCCGGAGTCGGTCGAGTTATCGCGATCAGTTGGAAGCAATATTGGACGAGATGAATGCGAAAATTCAGAGGCTGACGAATGGAGAATGTCTGGGTTGTTAGAAAATGTCGATAGGACACCAAACCAAAGCATTTCAAGTGGTAAGGACAATTTGATATCGACCTTCGAGAGCAGACGAAAAACACTTAAAAAACCAGAATTTGAATCAACGCCAAATAAGATACAGGATCAAGCAGAAGAAGAAAAGATTCTTCAGGTATTTTGAATACATCTGTTTTACTCTAAAATGTAAATTGGCCTAAATTAGATTTTCTTTTTGACGTGACTTTAACGGGTTTGAAAACCGGTTTCTTAATATGTTTGCCAATCGAAGCACTTTATAGATGTCTGTTTTAACTACTAAAATATTGCCCGAAAGTTACCCTCATATCGCTTACAACGTGGTTGGAATATCATTGTTTGATAGCGTTTTATTTGCTCTTGAAATTGATATTTCTACACAAAACCTAGCTTTTGTCAGATCAGAACAAATTTATCAAGTTAATGTTTCCTCTCAGTAATGCGAATAATAAAATTAAAATGAATGAAACATTTTTGGAGATTGGCTTTCATCAAATATTGCGAAAGTTTATAGGTAAAGATACGAAAACGGCAGTGAAAGGATGAAATACAACCTTTAGCTCCAAAGCTCAAACATTTCTAACTTTTTTCACACCCTCACCATTGTTCGATAAAATTGTGTTGAAAGTTAGAAGGAACCTATCTAGGAAAAAGCAAGGCTGTTTAGCCTACTTTTTTGTTTTAGCAATCTCAGTAGAAGCCCTCCCCTCATTTTCCATAATTATTCACACTTATATTGGAATTTCCATGAACATTCAAGGCAATTCCAGCCTATTGAAAGTATACTGAGATCAAAAGGCTTGTTTTTCATGACCTGGTGCTCTAAAAGTTACTTTTCAGGTTATTTGATTCCTCAGCATGGGTGTGGTGAATGTTTTGGGTCAATCCATTTTTATTTTCCTATGAATAAGTATGTCAAGGGTCCAAGTAGAAGGCAGAATTCCATTACTATGGCTACAAATATTTGTTTAATTGCACAGTATGGTAGAGCATAATTGCACCTAGAAACTGCATACCACATATATTAAACTCAGGTGATTGAGGGCCCTGGAGTGATTTAAGGGGTGATTTTACAATTTAAACTTGTTGAGCTACAGTCACGCACTTCATATAGTGGTGGTTTTATGGACTGCAGGGGCTGGGGCCAAAAACATCTGCAGGGCCTTTGTTTTTTACAATTTCTATCTTTTTTCTTAGGTGTGGGGCCCCCTTTGGCTATCATAAGCCTGGGGCCTGGTGCCATGGCCTTGCCTTAAAACAGCCACTGACTTCATATTTGGGTCATATCTTGGTCAATTTGAAATCATAGAAGTTTTGATGATTTGAGATCATATATAGTCAAAAATTCCTTCAATTTCATGAATTTTGATGACAGTCTATCAGATATACCCAGTAAAAGGGGTAGCTTAACTCAAAAGGGGGCAATCTCACCCAGCAACTACCCCTATTTATGCCCATGAACTTGTGATGGCTCAGTCATATTTAGTTGCAGTGTTGGACACCTTGGGGGGGGGAGCAAGGGCATTGTCCCCCAAAGCTTCTGTTCTAAAACAATGGGGAAATGTATTTGTCATCTTATTAAAACAATAGCCTTACCCCCAATATTTGACCAAGTGTCTGCCCCTGTTCATGAAGATTTAGTCTCAGAATTGATCCTTAAATTGTACACAAATTTTCTGCAAACTAACCTTAGAATTGTTTGAGTTATATTTTTAGAAGTCTGAGATGCAGCGAAAAAAATTTATTGAATATTATAACAAGTCTTATATTTCAGCCACACAACTTTGAAATTCTTAGATATATATATAACATTAACTTTTAGCAATTTATATGAAACCTCAAGTGGTCTAAAGCTTGAGGAGGGGGCTGCTAATAGGTGCACAAAGTGTTGTAAAATTGCCTAAATCTTCCTTAAAATGTATTACAACCTCTTTTTTACCTTTTGGAATAAACAAATTTCTAGGTTTGATACCTCATCCCCAGCAAGGCATAAAAAACGCATAGCAAAAAAACCTTATTCAAGCCATGTTAAATAGTGCTATGAATAATTCATTAAAAATTTTCCATATTTATCTAAAAACTGTCGCTAGAACCTAATTATTCAAGATCTTAATCCCCAAACAAGGCTGTTACAATTCTTTAAGAATAAGATGGCTAGGACGATTCTTCAAAAACAATCATTTGAATAACTCCAAGATGCGTTTGCATTTTCATGAGAAGTATAATTTTTATCCCCACCAGTGATCTTCCTGCGGTGTTTGCTGCTTTTTTTAGCCAAACTTTTACTTTTTATTGCCAAACCGACACCTAAAGCGTTATCGATCTGGATGGTAGTCGAGAGAAGCCAAGGGCTATTGAAGGAAAATCTTAAAAGAATGGCATAAGTAGTTAGGAGTCCTCTCGTGAACAACAGTATGTGCATTAGCATTACTAGCATTCCACCAACAGCTAAGGCGATTATGGCATCTCTTCAACATAATTATTTAAGATTTAGCAGCCACTGGAAGAGTATTAAGGCAAAATTTTATTCACTGAGTTTGCATTCAACGCGGATTTTAGGTCTTGTTTCTCCGCAAGGGTTCTTTATGTTCATATGGTTTAGTAAAGATGTGTCTGCTACCCTCCTGGATGAGTTCACTGTCTTATGGAGGGAAAGAAACCACTGAACAAAATCTGCAAACGCTACGCTTTGTTTTTGACTATTTTATTTTTATTCCGTCACATATATTTCACGTCTCCTCATTTATGTCATTGCTTTACATCCCTTCAACGGAGGCCCTCTCAATTCTTCTACAGCAAGCTGCTACCCTACAAATTTGGTGAAATGTAATGGCATTTGAATGGCTTAGTTGGGTGTTCCCGAAATTTTTACCTGTACGCGTGCACCCAACTCAGGTTTTCTAGCTACGCAACACCAGGGAATGTTATGGCCCATTTCTGCTTGAATGCATGCCTGGTCAAATTATTGCAACTATTTCTTTCTTGGTCTTTTGTTAAACGTTGCTCATATCTCACAACTCACAAACAGTTATGGTCCGAAAGACAAGGTTAAAGAAATTAGATACCCACACCCAACCTGATGTTTTTATTTCACTGAAGAAGGCTTTCAAAGAATCAGCCTGTTGGCCTAAGCGAGACGACCTCAATTTAGAATCTGGCTGAATTAAATTAGTTAGGCCATATTTCTTCTTAACTGTATAAGATGTGAAAGAGAGTATGATCCATGGGAAAAGTTGTGTTTTTCATCGCTGGGCGTTCTCAGAATAAGAGAATTGACGGAACCAGTGCTTTCATTAGAAATAAAAAAGTGCAAATTTATATCAAATCATCGCGTGCTATCGGTGAAGGTCGATGCATAAACCCATTTTGCAAATCCGCTCATTGGATTCACATACAGTTTTGTACTTGGGTCGTTGAATGCCAGCGCTAAACCTTCTATTCATTTTTGTAGTCTCGGCTACTGTGTTAAAGTTGCCCTTTGATTGTGCTTCTTTGAGCTTTTAAAGTAGACTGTTGTGTAGGATAGTTTTTTTAATGTCTTGGGGCTGTAGAGTTGAAGCCTCGGATGATGCAGGTTAATGGGTTTTTGAAACAAAGGGAACTGCAGTGAGTCAGCATTACAAGTCACTCTCTTCTTTTTTGTCAATCTCTTCACTTTCGTCAATCACTCTCACTTTCATCAACAGTTTTGGATTTAGAAGTTGGAAATTTTTTCTTTGAGATTTGTGGCAAAATAAAACTTTATTCATTGGATATGCCAAAAATATCATGTTATATTATCATAGATACAGTTATAAGATCATGTTATTGTTGGGGAGACGAACTAGAAAAGTTTTTTTGATGAAAAGGCATCCCTCCGTTCTGGAGTCAAAGAGCATGCGCATCGAACTCGATCGTTTGTACGCATGCTCTGTAACCCCAGGATGGAGGGTTGCCTCAACTATGAAATGACTTTTGCTTGTTCGTCTCTGTAACAAATTAGCATTTTCCATTTACATCTGCGAACATTCAAGTTAAAATATTGAATTTTAGGCCGAAAAAGGCGAGTCAGACGATGCGAGAATCACTGTTACAAAGCCAGGAACAATAATTGAAGTAAAGTTCAGCAATAATGGTTCCGAACAGCAAGAGGAGTTTGATGGAGAAAAGCTGGAGGCACATGAAAGTCTGTCCGAAGAGGAGAAGTCGTTAGAAGATATCGATGAAGCTGAAGAATTAGAGGCTTTAAGAAGAGATTTGGAACCAGTTGAAGAGGAGGATCTTGTCCAGATTGTACAGACGGATCCGGAATGTGAAATGATGATCGAGGACGAGCATGAAGAAGAGGCTCCCATTCAAGTAGTCGAACAAAATTCGATTGTGTGTGATGTTGGCAAAGGCAAAAAAGTAATAATTAGACATTTAGAGGAGGTCGCAACTAATGCTAATCTAGAAATGTCGTTAAATGTAAGCATGGAAGACTGGTTGGTATTAAACATCGAGAAGGATGACTGGGTGGTTGTTGGGTATGATAAAGTTGGAAACGACGTTGGTCGGCTGTATGAGCAATCTGTGGACACTGTTTGAATGCTAAGCTGTGGCATAAGTTATAATTGAAGCGATGTATCTAGACTTTCATGTGCGATTTACGCCCATCTGCTCTGCTGCAGACACTGCAAGGAAGACTCATTTTGAAGTCCTTGTTGTGACAGTCAAATTTTTGTTTGGAATACAGTGCTGCTTCTTTCAAATGTGAAGTTCACTGCCAAAATTATCATTTTCCACCATTTTACTTTCTTCCGCCATCAGTTTACCCTTAATTACGTTATGCTGCTACGGAGGAAACGGCTATGCTACGCGGAAGACGCAGTCAAACTTTAAGGCGAAGCTGTCTTTTCATGCATACCAGAAACCACACGTGCATACACTATCGATTAGATTAACACAGGCTTTTATGCAAATTATTACGTCATTGCGCTTATTGAAATGTCTGTAGCAGACAGTAAAACGCAGCTGTGATAAAACTTGCAAGAAACAACTAAGTTTCAATAACAATGACTAGAGGTTCAAGAATTGGACTTGCTAGGCCCATACATGGATATCGAGATGAAATGGAAATTCTCTTTTGTCTCAAGTTAGTGTTTGGGTTATCGTTGGAATCAATCGCACTGCAAAGACCTGGGCCTAGTGCCTCCCGCGGTTTTTGTTATGCTCCTTCAATTTCAGCCATTTTGCTAACAAGAATAACCGTATGTTGCGATTCTTATAAATTGTAGTTGGTATCGGTATGAGTAAATTGTCTCTAGAAAGCCAAATGTTTGCCAGTTAATTAAAATAGTTGACACAACCTAAAATTAAACGTGTTTGCGTTTAGAGAAATCATGGATAACCTAAGCGGGCTTTTTGTGTGTTTGATATTTGGATTAAACTAGTTTAATTCTTGCTCATTGCATTGCGGGTAATTTGTAATCAACAGTAGATATGACATATCTAAGACATTGCTTGTTCAATCTTCTTTCATGTTAATCCGTAACAAACAAGTGGAAATGTCAGAATTTTCGACGAAATTTTAAACTTCGAAGTTTTGTCTTTGAAGTGAAAGCTAATTATTCCACCAATCTTTGACAAGATGGTGGTTTGGTGGCCACAAAACTATTATTTTTACCAGAATTGACCCTTTAAGTTCATTAAGCTCCCGAAACCTGTCGATTGAATAACATCCTGGTTTCCATATCCAGAGCTGTCTATTAAATACCTTATCAAGCATTTCCGATATTACCAAGCATAAAATGTGAACAATAATATTTTGTCTTAAGCTCATAATGGAGGTACGTGTATTTTCTTTTAGGCTTAGGCCAGTAGGTTTTGCCGATTCAACTATCCAGTCTCGTGAACACATGGGGTAGAAGTAAACGTAAATTTGCTTGTCCTTAACATTTGGAGGGGACGTAAGTAAAAAAGTTTCAAGATGCCCAGAGCTAATTGCAGAATTGAAGTGTTGCTGGTTAAATGTACTTTTAGGGAATTCAACCTCCAGCCGTCCCCCCCTTCTCCGCTTTTATGGCCTATGAGGTTTCTGTATCTTCCACATCAGTGCTATGTTTAATTCACATACTGTCGAGGCCAACTCTATAGGCTAACGTCTGCGGGACATTTTGAATGATCAATTTGACTTTCTATGAATTGTTTGCTATTGATACCTTATGCGAGGCCCATACCTTGCATAAGGTATGCATACCTACCTTATACCCATACCACATTATACCAATAACCTTACAGTAATGTTAGAAATGCACATTAAAACAGATACGAATCATCCATGGATTATTTTGCACATTGCATATACACTCCTTTATACGAACACCTTCATGATAGACCTCTTAATTGTTATGAAACCCAGCAGTTGCTACCATAGCCAAACCTGGCTTTTCATACGATTATAGATGTCTGTTTTGTATTGATTACCCCATCACATGCCCACATGCTACCTCGTATGGCTTATACACGACTTTCCAAATCGACTTTTCAGCAAAATATACCAGGTTCTCCTTTTTACTTTAAAATAAAAACGATTTATGAAAGAATTTGGGTAGAAAAATTCAAGAAGCTGGCAACTGCTAGCTGTTAAATAAGTTTCCTTTAAAAACAATGTGTATTTTCTAATTTCTTCAAACATATTGGACATTGGTCTCGTTTATTTAGATCATATATGCTTTTCTTAATTTCAGCTTACACACTTTTCAATTGATACGATTTTATTATTTATTAGATTTATGAATTAAAAATTTGAGATAAATTATATGTTTTAATTGATTTATTTGAATGCCTTTTGTAAGAATGTTTGTTTTTAGATTGGTTGACTCTAGTGTTAATATCAATAACCGCACTGGGAAATAACTCAGTTTTTTATGCTTGTTGTCGTGCTGCACTTACCAACAAAAAGTTATTTAATTTGATTTTATTGGATTCCGTTTTATTACTAGAATACAAACATTATGGACTAGGAAAGACAGCATTACCAGGCACCGCGGAGCAGGGAGGGGGGGCTGGGGGCGCTTTAGCCATATTAAGACGGAATTAGATATTAAGTATCAAACTACCAGAAAAGCCTCTTTTTATACTGTTTTAGCCCCCCCCCCCACTTTTTTTAGACCCCCCACTTTTCTCAACGCTCCGCGGTGCCTGATTACGTATTTGATTCATAGGGAAGACATGTACATGGAACTTTGTTGTTGCCACAGCTGTGCGAATAGGAGGTTGCATTGCTGATACCCCCCACCCCCACCCCCCCCCTAGCCGTAGCGTAGTGAAGGTAACATAACGGGAATCTTAAAAAGTTTTCAAATCGAAGATTGCAACTCCAGCTGTATGGCATATGAAATACCAGCCATTCAAAGCCCTCCTCTTATCCTGTGACGAAGATTAAATATCACTGGCATCACGGACTGGCACTACCCTAACCTTGTACATCTATCGTTTTGCCTTTTTTTACTTTTTTACTTGTAGGGCTTTCCTTTCCTGTGAATGGGCTAGCTAGAAAATACCCAAATTAAAAATGCTTTCAGTACCGTTATCCACTGGGTACCTTGCATCTCTACACACACACACACTACCTTCTGATCTATTCTGCTGCACTCCTACCCCTTCTTTGCCCTAACTTTCAACATGGTTACGTCTAAGAATTGATCATGATTTCCTATCTTATCAAATTGTCAATTTAGTGTCTCTGTTCCTTTTCTCTACTATTTTACAAATCAAGATGTGCATATTGTAAGTTTTAAAGAATTTATCTTTTCTAAGTGGCCAAAGATTCCGCTAAACATCAGGCATTTCATTTTCCAACGATCATTTCACTTTTGAAAGTGCACTTTTCGGAAAATTTGAAATCTCTTCTAAGGTAAAGTTAAAATTCAATCTTGTTATCTAACTTCAAATGATTTAGGTGCTTTTCATGGTTTCAAACTCTTTTGACCCTTTAAATTACTTAAATTGATTGCCATATTGCCATATACTGAGCTGTAAATGTTAGCAACTGTCGGTCATCATTAATGTCCAAGCTGCTTGATAAATTTGTTTAGTTTGTCACCCTGTGTATAAGCGGCTACGTAAGGACCTTCTTGTTTTTGTAAGAGAAGAATCTTTAGAGTTGTTGAAAGAAGTTGCTGCCAAAATTATCACGAACGAACGCACTATCATAATGAAACGTTGTATATCATTAATTTCATTCACGAATCATCGCAGTCTAAAATGTAACTGTTTGTCTTTATATCATCGTCTTCTGGTAATCTTTCAGTTATTATAGCTGGATTTGATAACTACAATCTTCGTAAATGTTGGAAACTAAGGACGCAGGACCTTCTGTGTATCCTTACAAGGATGCTCAGCCAACTACCAAACACTGCTCGTAGAAGGGCTTTGGGTTGCGCAAGACACTAGCAGCTACCTGAATATGACATGAACTCAAAAATAATTTCGACTGGAGAATGGGCGATGGTGGAGAAAGATTTGAGTTATTTGTCGATGTAACATGAAAATTGCGGCAAACAATGTAGGTTGTTTAACGAAAAGATTTTTTCATTACTGTCTACTTTCTAGTGCATGTTTGAGCAAAAATTGGTATAAGGCTGGTGACTGTGTAGAAGTAAAACGGGTCTGAATGTTTTTGTCTGCAGAATAATTATAATTTACTGGTAGAAAAGTTATGCAAAGCTTGTTTAATAAAACCGTCAATCTTTTCCGGGTCGTCTTTTCTTCGTCAAAATGACTGATGATCTCCATTCCCGGAAACCTTGCCCGTCTTTATGAAGAGTATTGAATGAAGCCGACAAAGAACTTCTCTCGATTCTGTCCAGTCTCTTTTTTAGTTTGGTTCTGGTGCCCCCCCCCCCAACAGAGGGTAACTATGAATATGTAGGATGGGTGTGCTCAGGTTGGGGTACAAACCATCAACCCAAAAAAATAATTTCTAGCATTAAAATTGATCCAAAAAGTTATGCTTCTTCCCTCTGCACAAAAAGTTTGCAATTTTTCTCTGTCTAAACTTTGTCATATCCAAGACCCAAAAAGTCTAGATTTCGCGAACCCAAAAATATAATAGTACAACTGACGCACCTAAATAAAACTTACCAGTTTCCTAATACTATATATGAGTACACTCCTAGGCGGTGCCCTTGGTATGAATGACATTAACCAATATATCTGACGTTATTCTTTTTGGGCAAAACTTTAACTTTTCCCAAAAATGGATAAATTTGAAAACTCTCCCTCTACTTATGTAACAAGAGTGGCTTTTCATGATAAGAATAAATTTTTTCGTCGTACTTAATAACCTTAGAATCCAGTCTTTCCAGTCCTCAAGCTGGCTCGCAAAAAAAGGACCCAAAAAACCTTGGAAGCAGGCATTAGCAACAATTCAAAACAAAACACAGTTCATTAACAATGATCTAACTCATATTACATTACAACAATCTCTTTTCGAGAAACAAACTCTTTGCGTTCATCAAGAGCGATACAAATACTTATAACGTAAATTCAACGAAAAACGAGGTACCTGCCCCCAGTTAGATCATAAATAAGAACGCAAAACGCTGGCAGCCGGCAAATAACATAAAAACATATGAAAGAGCCTGTCCTGTAAAATCGACAATCACGTACAAAAATGTTGAGACATAATGGAAATTTTGCAATTTTCTACTTAAAGTTGCCCCTGTATATTCGAGTCCCCCCTTTCCCTGAATCATTGTTGGATTTGTATTTCTACCATTTCTCCTCAAATCATGCATTCAACATTGAATTTGGGGAGAGAAAAAGTTATTTTTCAAATGAAAGAGAAAATATCACCTTTCCTTGAAAAGTTCCAACTATTTTTGCCAGGGAAAGTAGGAAAAGTTCATAATGCTAACAATTATTTGCTGGATCAAGCCGCCTTTCCACCCCGGGGAACTTCATCCCTGTCTTTGAAGAAAAGCGAGCAATTGGAAAGCAATTATTTCAATAATAAAAAAACCCTAAGGCATCGAACGGCAAGTTACCTATAAGCCACCGATATGAAAGATTTCATGTTATATATGTGACGCAAAGAATGCAATAACATTCCTAAGAAATTGAATGATACAAAAAGTATGTTTATTTAATGACTATATACATATAATAGATTAAAAACCGATACAGCGATTCACCAGTGGACGATTATAAAATAATAACAGTCTAAAGTAAACTGTCGAGAAACAGCCAGCCAGGCAATATTGAATATTAGATAAATATATCCAAGGCAGAATAAATAGTGAATACAATAAAAAAATCAAAGTTAACGAAAATCTATTGAAACAATAGGCATGCATGCGGTGAACGGGAGATTGGGGCGGGGGGGGGGGGGAGGGGGTAGGAATGTTCATAGCCTGATCTAAAGTCACAGAGATTCGAGGATACAAATTAACAGATGTCCTTTATTGCAGAAAAAGTCCAAAGAGCCCATCATATGACGATGAAACCTCCGCTTCAATATAAAACTTAGAAAGATAAGCAATTTTTTCAAAAAGGGCCATCTTAATTTCTTTATGCTTAAAGGCCCATGGAGAATAAGGACATCAATCTGGTCCTCCATTATCTTTTTTAGCCATAGTTGAAACCCAACCTCTAAACAATAGCATAAAGCTCAACTAAGATTTGCTTATTTTAAAAATATTTTCCTACTGGCGCCACACCCAAATGAAATTCGCAAAATCTTTTAGCTCTTTCAGATAACTGCCCTGACTTAACCACAATTAATTACATATACGTTACACAATCTAGGCCAGCAAGGCAATTTACGATTCAAGCTGCCATTTTCACAACATAACTGCGTTAAATGCGAAATACTAGAGCAATCGTACATAAATGCGCTATCTTACAAACAAATACGGATTGTGCTTCATGTCACCTTCACGAACGCGGCGTTTTAATTCATCCCATAACATTTGCCTCTCCTTTACAATCCCGCGCAACAGCCCGCGATTTTCCACTGCACGACGGGAAAGATACGGTAGCACTTCAATAACTGGGCCATACGGGACGTATTTGTAGGCTGAGAACCCGGCTTGGCCTGCAAGAAATGAGACTTTTAGCCATTGGACTATAAGGGGATACTGAACAGCACAGAAGAAACCGTAAAAGCTCCATTAAATCCTAGAGGGTTTACATAATTTTTGAGGATCCAGACGGACGCTTATTTGCGAGGGGGCTTATTAAGAATCCAATAAAAGAGTTAAAAAAACCTTCTAGTACGTTCATTCTGTAATTATTAATAATTGCAAACGTTTAAAGAGGGTAGCATGTTAAACCGAGCTAATATAATGGTTATATATCATGTTTCAATGAAAACTCAGTCAAAAATTATGTCCCAATCTTTTTCTGAATCATCAAAGTCAATTGAAAAGTCCATAAATTAAAAAAAAACGAAGGGGCATACTTAACAGGGGAGTTTATTTCAAACTTATATTTCAAAAGGAGGAGGGCTTAATAGAGTTGCATCATGGTGAGACTGGAAGCTGAGAAGACCACTACAACTCTTTTCAAAAATATATATAGCATATATAACTCTAGACAAACAGCACAACTCACTTTGAGCTGGTACAAGAGACACTTCTAGCAATAACATCACGACAAAATTAAATAAGCCCCGCAAGCAAATGTTATAAAACAGGGCAGCCCAACTCCTAATTCTGTCGACAAATAATCCCAGCTAGGGATAAGGAGTACTCACCGAGGGCGTACGAAATTCCATCACACATTCCTAACAACTGTCCAAAGAACACCTTTCCAGCCCTCGGTTCGATAGCGTACTTCTTCATTCTAGAGAAATAGCATCACAATATTAGATAAAACTAAGACCCTGCCTCTACTTTAGGGGCACTACTGACATTATGCTAAATATCCGTTGGTACAAATTCACACTTAAGGCTGAAGAGCACAAAGTGCCAAGAGAAAGGTAGGCTAACATACTGCATTGTTGCTCTAGATACGAGAAATAATTAAATGCTTATAGATATAGACATTCCCGAATATATCTATCAGTTTGGCCTTTTCTCTGATCGAAAATGGAAGACTACAAACTATAAGTTTTTAAACATGAGAGTAACTTACTTGTCAACTGTTAACCTGACTGACTCTTCGTTATGCGAAGCTATCATCACACTAGCTCCCCTTTCAGCCACCGCCTTCATAATACAGTCAATTACCGTATTATAGGAGTTGTTTGTCGCCTCGTAATTGGGGTGGATTGGATCATCATACCCAACCGTGGCCGCCCTGGCTCTCTCTTGCTCCATGTATGCACCTCGTACCAATTTTGCACCAAAATAGAAATTCTCACGCTTGGCCAGTTCAAGGTCAACCAAAACTGTATCTTGAGCACCCTAAGAATGCAATAATTGAAACTCAATCTGTAACTCGGTTTACTAGTACTACTTATGTTATTACTAGTTTACGTTTGATTTGAGCACATAAAATGGTTAAATATACATTAACCTATTGTTTTCATAAGCTGATAATTAGATGTAGATGAAACAAAGATAACCATGTAGTTTTACCTGACTGTTAATCCAGTAATGCTATTACTATAGACATCGCCTTAATGCTTTATTGCTGTCCATAGGCTATTCTACGTCACAAATAACAACAAAAAGGCTCAATTAAGCGCCCCCTTCAAATAAGCACCCCTAAAGTAAAAGACTTTGAAGTCGACATTAAACTTCTATGGAGAGTGCATACGGTAGGTTTGAATCAAAAAGTTAAAAACACAATTATCTTCTACACCATATATTGTTTTCACAATCCCGTTAATGTCTATAGCGTTTTTCAAAATATATTTTTTAATGGGATTTCATAAAATAGGTAAATGAAAAAAGAGTTCAATACATTATATATATGCACAATCGCAAATTCCGCAAGTGCCCCTTCGAATGATGCCACCCTCTAATAATTGTCCAGTAAAAAGCCAGAAAAATTAATTAAGCTCCAGACACTTATTCGAAGATTCACGAAACTACATCAACCATACACTCTAGGCCTAATTCCATAGCATAAAAAACGTGGCCCAATCACATCACATATCATGAAGTATCATAATCACAACAAGTCACATTTATAAATACTAACATAATTACACTTAATCTTATAAATCTCTAATTAAGTTTCGGGAAAAATTTAAAAGCGGTATTTCGTATTCCTCTAGCTGGAAAAAGGAGAATCAGCGAACCATCATCAACAAATGGCAATATTTCTTACCTTCAAGTAACATTGGTAGGTGTTGAAAACAACGGGCCTCTCTTTATTTAAAGTCCTTTGGCAGTCAAGAGTTAATCGACTAATTGCAGGCTGAAAGTAGCTTTGCTCGGCATCAATCATCAGAGTTACACCTCTTTCCTTTGCAAGCTACAAAAGATAAAGAAGTTTAGAAAAATGGTTCGCAGAAAAGGCACATAAAACTGTTTGTTGAAATAATTTCCATTCCTAAAGAAAAATCAAGTTGAAAATACAAGTAGCCTCTACTTAAATAACTTCAAAATTTTGTACATAATTTTTACCATTTCATGCTTACTGTTTCTATAATTCCAGTTTATCCTGTTTCTCCAAACTTTGTCCTTGTTTCTCCTTCTCATGCAAAGAAACAAAATCTTCTGGAATTTGCCAGATGAAAAGCTTGCCCAACATGGGTATTAGAGGCATAGAAAACTGCCTAAAATCGAAAGTTTAGAAAACAATGCTACCTCTGCAATCTGCATCAGCCTATCTTGCAGGTTGTGCATCTCTTGCAGTTCTGCATCCGTCAGTGTGGTCAACAGTGGTGTGCTAGCATCACCCTTCAAAATAAATATTATACTGTCAGAGGAGGAAAAACAAGGGGCAGTTCCATTAATATACATGCACTTTTCATACCTTGAAGCATATGAAAATTCATATGGGGGTGAAAAATAGCACATGAATAAGCAGAACCAAAAACAATTCACGAAACACCCTGCTTGCATGGCAAACAGGGGTCATTATGAAACACTTTATAAAATACAGGCAAGAAAATGGAATTTGTAAGATCATTGTTAAGTAGTTGCTAAAATTTGTCAGCCAGGTAGCATCAATATGTCTTTAACTAAAGTGACATTCAGCTTGTGCAAATGTCGGATGAAAAAGAGATATGCATATGTTAATACTGTGTTATTAGTTTTCAGGAAAATTTGGTGGCATTTTCTCTAGTCAGCCAGCATCACTTATCAAACAACAACAAAAGGTAATACATTTGAGTACTAGAAATGTAGGGGCGTAGCTACTTGGGTGTGGGGGATGTCACACCAGCCCCCAGTATTTCCAACAGCTTGGCAATTTCAAGAAAATACTCGGAAATAATAAATTCGGGCATTGGAAAATTTTTTTTGTTTCTTAATATACAACTTAAGAGCATATATGAATAACTTAAATATAGATAATTATATCTAAATTATATATATATATTTTGAGTTAAAATACATTGCATTAACTATTTTATGTTCTAAATTGAAATTCCTATTAATTAAACTTTTGGGAAATTTATGGAAAACGGGAAAATTCGGGCAAAAATCGGGAAAGTTCGACTTAAAACTTCGACTTACGAGAAAAGACCGTATATTTACTTAAAGGAGAACTGACACGCAAAAATAACTTTGGCTTATTCGATGCAAAATTTGTCGCTGACTTCAAATCTGCAAAAAGTTTTCTTCTAAGATTCGCCGTTTTTCTGATATTTGCACTTTTATCCGTCAATTACGTCACAGCCAGGACTCGGGAATTTCCCGAAGCGAAAACAAGATTATCGCCAGGAGTTGTTAAAATTCTCGGTTGACGTCACAAGTGACATGTTAACAATGCCGTTGTAAAGGCTTTGACCGCAACGGTGAAAGTACAAATGAAGTTTCGTGTTTTATTGAAAAAAGTATGCGATAAAAAGACAAAAAATTGTCAGGCATTTCATTTATAAGTATAAAGAAGCTAGAAAATCCTAGCTACATATCTGATAAGACGCTAATATCCACATAAAATTTATTTTTATGCCATGATATCTTCGAAGCAGCATGCTCCGAAACATTCAAAGAACCTCAAAGCTTGTGAAAAAAGGAATCGACTTTGTTTGAAAACTGATACCGTTTCTTCAAAGTTTTTATTTTTACAATTACAAATAAAACCGCAATATGGGGGTGGGGGGGGGTTGAAGCAATAGACAAAAGACAAACGAAATCTAGTGGAGACAGCGGTAAAAGCGATCCTGCAACCTGCTTAGGGTGCAGAAATATGAATTCAAGAAAAAACCTTGTTTGATGGGAGCTGCAAGTGTGACTAAATAATAATTTCACTGATCTTGATTATTGTATTTTAACAGAGGTTGAGATACTAGGGAATAATCTAGTCTAGAAAAAGACCATCCCCCACCCAAGTCAAAATTGTTTGCAAAAGAAGATAATGCGCCAGTGGATATTCCTATGACAACTAAACAGCATTTTTTCGACTAAGAAATCAAGTTCTTTGGCTAATAGCTAAGAGCCTATTTCGTAAATCCAGATTTTTCGACTGCCAGGTTACTTATCAGTTCCCGAAACCTTCACGTCCGGTGAAAATGGCATATAATCCGCACAAGTACGACTTTCAACCCGCCTTTACTATTTAATATCACGATACAGTAAACGAGTTTGAAACATGGAAAAACAATCATAGAATGCTATATTGATAATGAATAACTTGCAGTTCCGTTTAGGGCATCATAGGCATTTTAGCGAATTAGGCCATACAGACAAAGCAGTCTGGACAAAGACCCCTCAATCTGAAATGAAATTCTAGTTTTACGATACCTGATCTCATTTAGATTGTAGCAATAGCATTGTGTTTAATAGAAATTCCATATCAGTTTGTACTTCCAGTCTGTTCTTTGTTCATAATATCGTCACTGTTGAGCCATGGGACAACTGTCTGCCCCAGCGGCAGCGCTGGTTGGTAGCAAAAATTCAGACGGCTGAAACTTTCCATTTGTTTCGAAATCAGTGTAATAAAACTCCGATTCAGAGTCCCAAACCATTGAAAAAGTCAATTATGTGTCAAAAATGCAAAATTAGCTCCTTTCACATGCACAAGATAAACATTTGTCCGCAGCATTTTGTTAAAGGTTTCTATAGAGAAACACAATACGTGCTGAGAACATGTCACTTGTGACGTCAAAGATGATCGCCCACTCGTGACGATTTTCGCCTCGAGTCTCAAGATGTCGGAACAATTGTCGTTTCTCAACTTGAAACGCCTGTATTTGAAAAACGGTAACTGTGATTAAAAAAAATTTTTCGATCCCGGAATTTGCTTGTCACAAACTACCGTTTTAGCCAAACTTATTTTTGCGTGTCAGTTCTCCTTTAAGTAAAATCAATTCTGAACTTAAACCGTCTTTCAATCAAGGATAGACCAATCAGTGCATGCTATTCACTCACATGGTTATTTATTGGCTAATAATGATTGACAGATGGTTGAGAGTTAGAAGTTTGTGTAAAATGACGTAACGATTAAGAACAATCGGGATGTACCTAAATTATTGGCAGACTGGAATACCAGAACTAAATCCTGTCCGTCCGTCTTTCACTCACTATTACCAAACTGGAAAAGATACTGATGTTACGTTCAAGGTACTCGATGCTTCAAATGCTTTAGCAATCAAATTACATATGGAAGATTGTATGTTCCGTGGTTTTCACGAAGATGGAAGAGCAAACTGAAGGTCACATTCAGGTTGTGTCGATGGTTTGTCAACTATACTTTATCAAAATACAACACCCAACATACTTCCATCTACGGTTTCATTATTCACAATTCTTTAAGGTTGCACGAGGGAATTTTGCAATACATTGAGAGCACTCAATCTACAGCCTCCTCAGAGTAAAAAAAATCCAACCATGGTTTAAAATTTTGGTATTTTTTCAATGGTGCAAAGCATTTTGACGTTTGATGATAAAATAGCGTGAGCCATTTGTTTAAGTTTTGTACAGCCAAAAAGTTCAACTTTCCCGGTATTCCAGCTAAAAACAGACGTATATGAAAGTATCTATATTTTGGCATAATCCATAGGGTTTTGGCCATAATGGGTTAAATACTTCAAATGAGAATCTAATGAGTAGATTCTGAGCAGTAGATTCGCCTATGAACCTAAGTTTTTCATTAAGTCTATTGAAAGTCAAAGATTCATTCATTGATAAGACTTCAAGCCCTTAGCGAAGAGTCTACAGTAAATTTCGTGAAAACATAAAAATTGGAATATGAACTGATCAAAGAAAAGCTGGCATGAAATTGAAACGACTAAATTTAAAAAAATAATGACCAAGTCTTTTTGGCAACAACAGTAAACTGTTGGAGATATTCTCTTTAAACTCAGCTCATTCACTTATAAATACCTAGTAGTAAGGCTATCGATTTATATAACTCTTATCGAAAGAGTTATTTAAGATTTCAAGCTGCAGCTTCTTAAGAAACAAAAGCATATATGTTTACATTAGCGCAAGCAAAGGAAAAAGTTGAGATACTAAAACTTGAGATACAATAGAATCATTTAATGTATCTCAAGATGAAGCTGTGACAGTAAGCAGAGTGTGACTGTAAACGGAGCTAAATTGGACAGTTTCGAGTACTTGGGACTAGAGTTTATGTCGCTGTAACTGGTAGTATGACTGCAAGCAAAGTGAATCTAACTGTAGCTACGAAAACTAACAACATGATTTGCAGGTTTGCAACTTGATAGTCTAAATACTTACCACTGTTTTCGGCTTAGCTCTGAACAGTTTGCTCAGTTGCAACTGTGGTGTCAGGAAATTATGCCATTCGATCACATCAATATGGCTGAACAAGCAAGGCAGATAATTAAGAGAGAGCCATGTTGGAAAAACGCAGTAGGTTGTACCGAATACTTCATTATTTTTAATGTATGTTACAATCTGTTTCTAGTTGAGAAATCACAATGAATGAAGCAGGAAAATATTTTAGGCATATTGCATTGCTTAACTGATCTGGATATGTATCATATCTGAAAGATTCTCTCATCAAAAGATGTAATATTCTTTATAAAGAATGTATTTGTAACGTACTTTACAGCAACGAATTGAAAGAAAAATTGGGAGCAAGTTTGTGACTTGATGTGGGATCAGGGTAAACATCTATATTGCTAATGTGAATTTGAGCTATAGGTAGCTTCTATCTAAAATGCCATTAGCGAAATTTATCGAGACAAATAGCAACCCAACTTACCCCGATTTGTTTTCATCAATTAAATCAAAAATTTTCGCTGCCTCTGATTCTGACATGTCAATCTACAGAAAGAAGTTCATTTCCCTATTCAATTCATGTCATCTCCCTATCTCCCTTTGTCAATGACATTTAAAACAGGCTGGCTTTATTACAAGATGGATGTCATAGTTATCTTTGGCTATTAAGATCTTGGCATATGCAAAAATAACACTTTTTAACCTTCTCCAATAGCTTAAATCCCTGCACTTACAACTTTTCAAGGGTAGATTGAGTCATCCCTTTCTCCCCCTCTGGACAATGTTAGATTAATATCAAACGATGTAGGAGATGGGAACTTCAATTTTGACTTGCATGATATTGCCCTGGTCTATTAACATTCTTTGGGTGAAGGGATTTGGTAATAAGATGGCAAGGACCTTCAAATCTGAGAAAAATTAATAAATGCAATCAGTGGCGGAAATTCAGGCTTTTATTTGGGGGGGCCCAGGCCTACGATATTCCGACAAGATAACATCACGGACCATGTATAATTTCAAAGAAACTGCACATTTTGATAGAAATAGTTTTTTTTTGACGGGACTCTTTAGAAATCTTTGCTGACCACGCCATAATTAAGTAGCAAGAAGAACAATCCATTTATGATTTTTGATATCAAGATTGATACCTCATCTAAGACGATATATGATACAATAAGTCGACCGATTACACTTTTGACAAGTCGTACGTTCATTTTATGCATTTTATCTTGTTTTCGTAAGTGAGAAATACATTTGAAAATAACTTTTGTTCAGAAGAATCCGATAGAAATTTTGGCCGACCTTTACGGAATTGAAATTAAATACACAATTTGGAGTAATTTCGACACGTTAAACGGTTGTCAATTATCCGACGAAAGCCCGAATTTTCCGACGATTTCGCTGATTGGGGGGGGGCCGAGCCCCCAAATCCCCATAATTTCCGCCACTGAACGCAATTATGAAATCACCAGCGGATTACAGGTCAAGCGCAAGCATCAAATACCTACCCCAAGGTCCTGCAATCCTTTATAAAATGTGCTGTTGGCAATGGATCTCTCGTTTAGAAAACCAGACTTGCTTGCAAGTTTATCAAAGAAATACGTTGTTTGGTTCAAAATTTCTGACAGCCGGAGCTAAAAAAGGACACAGAGAAAATGCATACAAAAAAATGCATATTATACACCAATCCAAACAAAGTCTGAGAAGCACACTGGATGGAAGTTTGGTAGAAAAGCACCTTGGAGGAAAATAAAAAATTTATTGGAAAATACATAACAGATTCTGGGGGATCCAAGCATTGTTCCTAGTTATAAGCAACCGCCTTCCAAAATTATGGGACTGCAATCCAGTGTCTATCATCTTCCACTGGAAACATTGCTGGAGAACTGTAACATTGCTGTAATACAAAATTATTGGCAACATTTGATAGACCTTCCAATTGGGGCGTAGTGCTATGAAAAGAATAATTTACAGAAACAAGAGCAAGAAGTTGAAAAAAGTTATTCTTAAGAATCAGCAAGGGGAGCCCAGTACCTGGCTTATTCTGAAATCACCTAGAGTCAACAGATAGGCTCCAGACATACCATTAACTGTCAGAAATGTATCTTGCTTTCTTTCAATGGGCATACTAACGCGCCTCATTGATTCAATGACTGATGAGCTCTGTTACGTATACTAAACTGATGGGCACTTATAAAAGATACATACCAACAAGTGAGGTCGCCCAAGAGCAGTAATTTTGATAGCAGCAAAACCATTATGACTTGTTTTGCCTGAAGAAACATTACAAAGGTCAAACATAAATCTACTTTTGACTAAAAGAAGGTACTAGGAACATCCAAAGGAAAGTCCAAGCAATCTGGGGGTACAACTTAAAGGGCCTCTCCAGCCAAATTTTGCACTTGCATTTTATTAGCTAATCTAAAGGAGTTGAACCTGCTGATCACGAATTCGTTATTTGTTTTTCGATATTTTTTACAGTTTGTGGGATATAAGCTCTTGCATTTCGATAATTGAATTGAATTAACCGACAAAAATTTTTCGGTTTGGTGACACTGTGACGCAATTTTGACGTCACAGTGTATTTCGTTAGTCTCGCCTCAAACCGAATCGAACTACGGCGATTCGCAAATTGAACACTGCAAGTGATGGTACTCTAAGTTCTGTTCCACCGGCTTTTAGTTTGAGCATTTCAGACATCAGTTCTGAAGCCATTAGTTGTTCATCGTTTCTGGAGAACAACATGAGTATCAATTTCGATTAATTATACGCGAGGGAAGAGCTGGAACAGGAAGCCATAGCTTTGTGGGCCTACACAGGTGATCAAAACAAAGTCGTGACACATCATAGACACATTCCGACCCGCAAACTTAGAATGATTGTAAACATTTAATATTTTTCGATCCTAAAGAACTCCTGCTCTAGATTTAGATGCAGTTATCAACGCATGACCATGACTCCTTCGGGATTCGGTGGAAGATATACGAAATTCATGGCGAACGAGAGCCGAACACTGTGACGTCAGAATGTCACAAAACTGATTCGGCTTTTGTCGTTTTTTTCTCGGAAAGGTGCAACTTTAAAGCCTTATAACTTCTAAACTAATTGGAATTTTGCAAAAACAACGACTTTGCCATAATACACGCACCAGATGCTAACTTTTTAGTCAATAAAAAAAATTTTTTTTTTTGGCTGGAGAGGCCCGTTAATCAAGGATGCAACTGTACTGATATTCATGATTTAATGAAAATAACTCATAAGAAAGAAGATATTATTAATGAATAGTCAAACTAAGACTGTTGACAAATATATACCTGTTGTCTCTATGCAATCTAGAAAGACATCTCTGTTCTGGTCACATTTTTCTTCTCCTTCATAAATATATGTCCTTGCACTGTAAAGATCCTTTCTTCTGTCAGCAAATTTTCTCTGAAACTTGAACCGTTTCTCTACATCAGCAATATCCAGAACAGCTCCTAAAAGCATTGTATGACACACGTCAGACTCAACCTAGGCTACATTGGTCAATGAGCTATCTGATTTATGTCTAAAGGGTTATTGGTGGTGCATATATCATTGCTTTTATTCCGAAAAGTGGCAAAGTCTTGTTCCAAAAGAGTGATGCTTTAGCTGCACGCCTTATTGTCTGCGAGCAATGGAGGTAGGTTACATGAAAAAAGGGGCTTTGTTGAAGTACATTCGAATTAGGAAATACCAATAAACAGGAAAAAATCCAAGATTTTCAGATTTTCCTTACCCGTTTGGTCACCTTTTGGCAGTACAGAGGGTCTGTAAAGGAACAGGACAATTTATTATAAATGTTAATCACTGATGTTTAATTAGACCACAACGTTATTTCAATCATGTTATTTAATAATGCTGCACAGAAGGATCTATTATTGATAGAATACAGCACTTGTCATAACCCTATTATCTCAACAATATAAGAAAATAATATTTGCTGTCAAAATACTCTCAGGCCTATCAGAGCATAACTAAACAATGTAGGTAATTACCAATGGCCACCACCATAAGGATTAAAGATATGTTAGGACATCCCCAGGATTGCATTGATCATTGCAACATGACACTGGGAACTCCTACTCTTACTACAAGCCACTAGATCAACACACAATGCAAGTTACCACAATGGTTTAGTGATGTGTGCTTTAGGTTTGTCACTTTGTTGCATAATTGAAAATGGCATTCCTCTTATGTTAGGATATCCACACAGGCTTGCATTGATCATTGCAACATGACACTGGGAACTCCTACTTATACTACAAGCCACTAGATCAACACAATGCAAGTTACCACAATGGTTTAGTGATGTGTGCTTTAGGTTTGTCACTTTGTTGCATAATTGAAAATGGCATTCCCATTATATCCACACAGGCTTGCATTGATCATTGCAACATGACACTGGGAACTCCTAATCTTACTACAAGCCACTAGATCAACACAATGCAAGTTACCACAATGGTTTAGTGATGTGTGCTTTAGGTTTGTCACTTTGTTGCATAACTGAAAATGGCATTCCCCTTATGTTAGGATATCCATGTAGGATGGCATTGATCCTTGGCACATGTGTGTAACACCAGCACAATATACCACAAGTAGACATTATGTTTCAATTTGCAATGTTTTCAGATTGCCTCCCCCCCCCCACTAATTGCATATCTGACAGGGGTATCCCTCAGACTTGAGGATAAAGCATAAGGATTAAGAAAAGGTCAAGTGGCTTTGCAGCATCAAATGGTATCAGAATCTTGAGATGCTTCCAATGCCTCTGGGACAATTGAAATGAATTTACACTTGTTATAACATGGCAAACCTTGTTGCAAAGGCTGTGCTATATAAAGGCAAAACAAAAGTCTAAAAAGCAGAGTCTAAAAACAAAAGTTTTTTAAAGGAAACTAAACCCATACACTGCAGCCTCCACAACAGTGCTTGATGGCATATCAGCCTCCACTGCATAGTCCAAAATTGCCCCAACTCCAAACTTTTCCATTAGATCAATTTTTGGCTTTATCTCTTCTTTCATTTCCCCAGCAACAAAGTGTCCATAAAAGGTTCCCTTCATTATCACTTCAAATAATTTTCTGCCCAGGACTTTTTGGCCAAAACTGAGAAGCTACAGAAGAACCAAAATTTGACATTAAGCAAAGTTATAGAGTTTGAAGAAAAAAGTAGCTCACAGATAATAAATATCAAAGCGAGAAGGTCAATTGAAACAATAATGACATGAAGTTAGAGCTGCAGACTAAGATCATATCGTGGGATATTGCAAGGGAGGGTTACAACAATTTAAGTATGCTGAGAGCTAAGGTAAATAAGTACAATGCTTGACAGAATACTAAGAACACAGAGAAATTGCATTGTATATTTATAATTTTGACGTCTTATCCTAAGTATTAGTTCTTCAAGGATTCTGAATTTAGATGGTTCACACACAAGGGAAGCCAACATGATAAGAAAAATTCTTCACATGCACAGTGAACCCTGTGTAACATGCACAGTGAAAACTGTCCCCAGCAAATAATATCCCGACCCCCCCCCCCCCCCCACTGCAAGCTTTAATTTTTGGTCCCCAGTCAATTTTCTAGATTTAACAAAAATTTATCTATTTGGTACCAAGCGTTACTGCAAATTTTACCCATCCCCTGGCAGTCCAAGACAAATATTTTGTTCTCTGTCATATTTATCTGCTGTCCCCCATGAAGAAACCTTGGTGGGCTTGTTACACAGGGAGTATTTTTAAAATATAAAACTCTGCCTTTTACAAATAACATGCTGTTTTGAACAGAATTCGCCTTCAGTATTCTAGATCTTTCTGCACTTGAATAGTATATTGATTTACGATAGCATTTCACAGTGAATCTATGCCAAATCTAAGAGGATTTTTAACCACATTTCCTTTGTTGTATTACAACGACCTCAATCGAATACCTGCCAAACCTTAAAGATTAATGTCAAGACTCATACATGTCTAATGAATACCAAACAGCATTAAAATAAAATTATAAGACGCCTAAGTTATATAGCACGAAATTCAATGAACTCTACAGGTATTTTCACATTCCAGTTGATCGCTGGACCTAGAACGAATGCATTATTATGTTATCACCAACGACCCACCGGGACAATAAGCTACACCACCGTGCAAAATAACTCTCTCTTGAATGTTAACCCTTTCAAATTAAAATAATCATATGATTCATGCGAGAAAAAGGCTTTGTTGATGATCGCACCAAGACTGCTGAGTGCCGAACACAGTTTTGGTTGCCAACATAAATTGCTGAGCAAGATAAATATTATTGAGGGCTAAACTTTACATACATAGACAAACAGTGTGCCAGTTTAGTGGCCGATGCAAGATCATATTTTATAGTACTCTTCGATCTTCGTTTTCTCGTACTTTTCAGGAACTTTCTCGCTATAACACCCTACCTGCCTGTCATGACGCACATAGGACACGTGACCAGGAAGATATACACTTCTGTTATAAAATTGGTTCTGTAAAATTACCTTGAGTAGTAAAATGTTCAATCAAATTATTTTGGCAAATATAGAAAATTCTTCTAATTTAATAAGTATTTAACTGGAGAAACGCTTCGTCCATGACAGCTTAAATTGCGCAACTTAGTCTTAAATTGCGCAACTTATGATAAAATAAGAACTTGTATCTTACCATATCTTGGCCTTTGAAAGGGCACGAATACGATATTCCGAATATCTTCCTTCTTTTTATTGACGATTGAAATCACAACCCGATTAATTTTTGTAATGATCTCTACTTGGTCAGAGAATGGATATTTTCCTATAAATTACATGCAAACCCAAACAATGTGCCATCTATGTCGTTCACCATAACTAGCAACATTGCAAAAATTCAAAACAAAAATAAATTTATGAAAATAAATTTACAAACCATTCTTAAATAAATAAAGACAACTACCTTTTTATTTCTGCTAACAATCATATCAATGGAGCAGAGTCGAAACACAGTCAGGGCTCTGATAATTTCCCATGTTGTCTTTGATTTGAACGCCTGTTTCGAATCATCAAAATCGAGAACAGCATCCCCTGCAAGGGCCGGTTGCGACTTACGATCAACTGCAGGAATTACCGTTGTACTCCTGCATCTTATGGTGCAGCTAACCGGCCTAATAATTCCACGAGTTAACTGAAGCTTCTGATTTGCAAGTCGCAATTTTCCAACGCTGGCCATCCCTCTCACCTTGTCCTCTGAAAAATTCTGAAGGTGTGTTCTAGGAGCGCACGGACGTTGTTATCAGTCTTGACGTCACAATAAAACCGGTTCGACGGGGGAGAAAACAGGATGTGGTCTGAGTCTGACCAACGAATCCAGTGGCCGGACCAGACCTCTGGGTCCGGAACCCTGGATGCCAGAACTTCTGAAGGAGATTTTCACGGACAAGTTGCCGTGTAGGCGATCTTCGAAATCCTGTTGTCTGTAAAATTTTCAATTAAATAAAATGAAGGTATAGGCTACTCTTATGTCGAAAATAGAAGGGATGATTCCGTCGCTAAAACACCATCACTTAGGGAGTGCCGGTCACCAATTTGCCGACAAAATAGGGCGAGGTCTAAAATATATGAATTTTTTGATTGTGGCATTTTGGCGCAGTTTATTTTATTTATCAAATCTTTTGTTTTCGTCAGTCAATCATTGCTTCGATTTTCGTTTTGTAATTTTCTTTACCTGAGTTTCTTTACTTGTTTGATTTTACTCTAGAAATAAAGTTTTGAGCAAAGATATTATTTCATTTATTCATACAGCTCAGCACGTTTAAATATAACCTTAGTTTGTATGAGCAGATCTCACAGGCAGGGCCTGGGCCGCCGAGAGGATCGGGGGAACTGGCGCAAAACCGAAGGATGCAGGAAGAAATTTTTCGCGATCACGCCCTTTAGATTGTCTTAAAATGCATTTAAGAATATTTCTTGCGGTCATTTCTTGCGAACGATTAGAACGTATTACTATTTTTAGCCAAACTTTGCTACGTTTCATTAATTCCATTCTTAAAATGGACTTATTAGCCTTGCTCCTCCTCTCAGCGGCCCTGCTCCCAGGGGCTTCCAGTACCTCCAGGATCAGAACTTTTCAATAATCTTTCCCCCTTCCCTTCCTCCAGTGGTGCCGCTAGCGACGGCACTGGCTATAAGTGTAAATAAAAATATCTCATTCATTTTGAAAGCCGGGTCGTTTTTTAAAACCCTCCTTCTCTTCCCAACCTTAGAGAATCGTTCTGAATTATATCTTAATAATAGCAGTCTTATACAAAGCAACATCATTATCAAAAAATATTGTGCGGAAATATCCCCCAACCTCGTTTTGTCTCTTTTGTTTATTTTTTGAAGTGTCTTTTGTTTTCTGCTGGGCTTTTTGTTTTGTTGTGGAAGGTGGAAGAAGGTGTCAACACCTAGTAAAAAAGAATGAACTCTCGCCTTCGAAATCGACTTTCGAAGATATTGCTCTTGAAACTCTCGAAGAACTATCGCTCTTTTCGAAGAAACTCTAAGAAATCGCTCTTGAAACTCAAGAAACTCTCGAGGAACTCGCAAGATAAAGGTTTCATTTCACGTACAAGGACATAAACAAGGTGAAATCTTTCCGTTTATTGATAGAATCTTGATGTAGTCGAAGAAATTCGGAATAAAGGATCTCTTACATTCTTGGACTCCTACATTAATTATTCGTTGCTTATTTCGTTTGTTAGTTTTGTTAGATTATAAGATTCTCGTTGTTTTTGGATATATATACAGTCCTCTTTAATTATTAGAAAAATACACCTCTCGTATTTTCTTTGAGCCCTTGTGGGCGTATCTTACTCGTAGAATTAAATGACGAGAACCCTACGTGTCTACGAAGTTCGTAAAAATATAGCATTGGTTTATATACTTTCATTTGACAACAAAATGACACGGGCATGCAAGTATGGAAGAATATGTCATAATAAAAACACCCAATTAACTTTTCTCGTCGTCTAGCTGGAGTGGCAAGGGCCACGGTCACGCTTTGATAAAAGTTATATATAATGTGTTTATTTATTATGTGAAATATAATGTGAGACTAACCGAAATACATTGTGACGTCACAAATGCGTCACAGTGTCACCAAACCAAACATTTTTTGCTCAGTAGTTCAATTCAATTATCGAATGGTAAGCCCTTATAACTCATAAACTATGAAGAATATTGAAAGCAAACAACAAATTAGTGATCCGCATGTTTCAGGATTTTTTTTTAAAAATTCCACTTTGAAAAACATGTTGAGCAAATAGAGAAGACCTATATGAGTGTATGTAAGTATTTTGAAATCTACCGTATGTATTTTGAAACGCAGACATTTTACAACATATTGGCTAAAAGCTTTTTCTTCTATACTGGTCTTGTGCTAGCGTTTTTTTGGTTGGCCTTTTTCGATCCACAATTGGGTATACACTTTTCATCGTGTTCTTTCAGACTCTTATTCTGATGTTTTATGCTCAGAGGAGTGTCAGACGAAAAAGCTTATAGCCAATTTGTAATAAAATGTTTGCTTTTTTTCAAAGCCATTTTCAAGTTTTGTACCGCCAAAAACTGTTCAAATGACTCGGTCTTCATTATAGCTGATATTTTTACATTTTTATAGAAAGTTGACTCGCATTAAAAGAAACCTTCCATGAAACAATTCATTCAATATAGCAAGATAAAAATAGGCCGTTTTTATTTTCAATATACTATTGATGTAAGGGAAAAATTTTACTCCATTTTCCGAGTTTACCACCTACCCACGGATTTAAAGGAATTATTTCTTTCAAGAACTTATTTTCGTAGACTTATTTTTTGCAAATTTCACGGGTGTTATCTTTTGTGGATGAACCAAATTCGAAGATTTCAATGGAATTTATTAAAAAAACTTCTGGTTGGTTTCAAAATTCTTAGGTTGGAACGTTTGGGGTTGTGGCTGCAATCTTCACGGATATTTTTTAAGAGTAAATTATTTGGAAAAATTGACATTTTTGAATATATTCAGGATTTGAGGACGGTTAAGTAAGTATTGTTATGAAGGTTCAGGAAGGCGTTTTTCGATAGTTCTGAAATCTGAAAATGTGCTTTTTTTTTGTTTAATTTTGAAATGTTAAGAGCGAAAAAACACTCCCTTTTCTCTCACCCTGTCCTCGAAAATTTAATACTAGATGACACTTGTAAAAAAGCAAACTTTTGTATATATTTTAGTACTGTAGAATAAAAGCCTTTAAAATAACATATATCTCTATTTAACCGTTTTATTAAGTGATAAAATCTACAAAATCATTCATGACTCAATCAAATCAACTGATATGTTAATATATTCTTAATAGTCAAAAGCAATATATTATGTACACTTGCATGACAAAAGTATTAGGACGATCGCCTCGAAGCAAATGTGGTTAATACCTTTGCTCAAATAACAATCTAGAAAATCGCTGGAACATAACGAGATTGCTGGTTGAGATTTTCAATTGCAACTTTACCAAATTGTGAAAATAAACATATGTCTTATAAATTGTAAAAATAAACTTTTTTAAACAAGTACAGTTTGCTTTATCTTATTTTTTGTCGGATGACCTCCAAGAATCTGGCAGCCGCCATTTGTACTGGAACTCTCTGAATTAATTTTACAACAAAATCTCCTCGGATACAGTAGGAAATCTCAAGAAAATTCTAGAAGAGCTTATTTTTGGCCTTAGAAGATTTCATTTCTTCTGTACTTGCCTGGGGACTTTCCACAAATAATTGAACAAAAATATTCAACATTGATTGACTTCGCACACTATGCCAGCTTGCAGGTGTCATTAGGCCCAACCAATAGTCGGCCTACCCTGACCTACCATTCTTTAAATTTTAGTAGGCATTGTTAACTTATTGTTCTTGTAAATAACATGTGTTGTAGACTTGCTGCAACCATAGATCCAAACTTACTTGCAGTTTCAGCAAACAAATTACACGCTAGACCCAATTTTTTATTGCTTTTCATTCTCTTGCTGGTCGTTTTCGTGTTTTCGGCATTGAAACTAAAACATTGATATTTTCTATTTCTCCCTGACATTTTTTTACTTTTCTATCGTAGAAAGGTAGGAAATAAGTTGAATTTGCTAGGAGTCGCATTTTTGCTGATGCCATTTCTAGAATCCCGCCAGAACAGCAAGATTTGTTCAATCAATGTTAGAATGCTAGTTATAGAGCCGCCATTTTGCTATGCATCGTCTTAATACATTACGTAAGTGTATTTCATGACGGAGAAAAAACTAAAAACAAACAACTTAGGTAAGTATAGGGGCATATTATTTCGCAGACCCGGGCAAAGGCGGGTTAATTTGTAAAGATGGTGGAATTTTTAGTAAATTCCAGTCGTTATAAGCACTCGCCCTACTCTACTTGCAACAGTTTCGATACTTCAATTCATCTTCTAAATACTTTGGCTAATACATTTCTATTTCAGATTTTTTCAATCATTAGTAAAATAAGGCAATTCTTTCCAATTTGAACACATTGATCATTATAAAAGGTGAACTGACATGCAAAACTGTTTTTATATATCATGCAAAAATTTCGCTTTAAATGTCATGAAATGGCCCAGCGCGCGTGACGTCACAAACACGAACTGGACAGTTCAATTCGATTTATGTAGCCTCTGATACAAGATACATGAAAATTCGAGGCTAAAGAAATGTATGAAGGATATGTGCTCGCTGGTACTGCGTTATGATTGGAGAGCATTGAAGTTTGGAAGGAATACATATTTGTTTATTTATTTATATAATTATTTCATATTGAGGTTAATTTACTGGCAGCTAAGCAAACTGATATGGCCTCAATAGGCACTTTTAGCTGCTCGAAGAAGTACACAATTCTGAAGTTAATCATGGGGATAAAATTTTTTCATTTTAGCATGAATCTATCATATTTTCTTGAATAAATCTAAAACATTATTACTTTGATATATCATTTCTAAATACAAATAAATCATGAACGTTATTTTGGGTTTACAAACTCATTGGCTCACCCGAGTTACAGGGGTGCAGTGGCCTGAGTGTTGAATTTTTTACGAATTTGTTTTCCTGCAAATAACGACTCGATCGTACCAGGTTTTTAACCCCTAAACATTTTCCATGCGATTGATTATGAATATGCCGAAAAAAGTGACATAAATTGAAATTTTTACAGCATATATTGAAGTTACTCAGAATAGGTTTCCAGAAAATAAGAAAAATTCAACCTGGACAATCTAGTCGATCACACGAAGGAGTCGTTTTGTAGTTGAAAAGTGCTAGAAAAATTACAAAGGTTTTCAATGCTGAAAATTACAATTAATTACCATTCCTTTTCCCAATCCTGCTAATATATTTATCGCTATCATTATTTGATTTTTTGGACTGCCTCACACTAGGTCATGTGAGACGGAGAAAGGGGCTCAAACGCATTGAGTCGTACGATATTCTTGCAGATCTTATCATGAGAGGTTTACAAAGGAGTCACAAACTATTTTACAATCATTTTGTCGAAATAGAGCCAAAACCTACTCAATTAATGCGTCGATGCTGTTCCGCAAAATCATAAAATTACGGCTTCCAGACTGTCGACCTGCACAAGTGGTTTGAACACGGTGTTTGTGACGTCACGATTATGCAGAAGGCTCGGGCAAACTCGTACGTGCTCGGAAAATATTCGGTGGCCAACTTTGACGCTCAATATCTCGAATATTAAAAACAGTGTTGAATATTAAAAAACTTATAATATTTCAGGTATCTATGTTCGATAAGCTTTCGTTTGAGGTCCAGTTAATTTCGCATGTCAGCTAATGAAGAGCACTGCAATTTGCTATGAATTGGCAGCCGAAGAGGCATTTCATAGAGATCGTGGATTCAAGATAGCTAAAAACGCTATTTCTAAAAATGAAATCCGGTTTGTCTGAGCAATAAAACGCAACTAGTTTGCATAAAATCTGCTTATTAACATAAACAATGTCAAGTTGCAGCAGCATTAAATAACGAAATTTATTCTCGGAAGCAGCATCTTTCCTCATAGCTATACTCTAAGGCATTTCATAATCATACCTGCTCACAGGTATTTTCATGCTTATGCTTATCTTTAAACCAAAATTAGTGACCAATTTTCAAAATGCGTATTTGTAAAACATAGCAAAAATTTATGGAAATTCACCTGGCAAACTCAAGGTAGGTTAGAAACAGCAAATAAATGTTGGACATTCCACGGCGAGTATAATAAGTATAATGTAAATATGGAAAGGATTCGTTTGAATCAAGCATTGGAGGGACCAATCGGTTGGACAGGGCAATTATTCGTCCTACTGTTGTGAAAATGCGATTCAGCTAATCTACCCAAAAATGGTAAAATGTATTGAAAAGGGGCATGTCATCTCGCTTATAATAAAATAATGGAAAATAAAGGGTGTGTTACTTAAATGCTGCAAAAACTGTGACAAACTTAACCCACCTGCAGCTATCAATATTGAGCTAATAAATTTAAAAAAAGGAAAAAATATCCTTTACATTCATTTCTTTCGTGCAGTTGAACACATATTTTTTTTTCAAAATTAAACGAGTTAAAAAAAATTTCTCACAGCAATAAGGTGTAAAGTTGGCAATGGAACAACGCAAATCAAAAAAATAATTCACAAACGAACAGCTATACCTTTATCTTGACGATATTATCGTTCGATAAAAACACCTATGCATGTAAAATCATCTCAGTATCAATATGATATAAATATCAATACTACTATGTAGATTATTCTTTAATCAAAGCTTATTTTACAATGAAATCTAATTTAAGCAGCCTAAATGGTGTTAAAATTCTATTCTAAAATTGAAAATTCGATACTATTTGAATCCGATATAAAAGACTCCACACACATGGATCTGAGTAAAGGACACTCAAAACAACATATCTATTAATGCACCACTACAACACTATACAAAAAATCCAGCTAAATCTGTCAGTCTCTTATAGTGAAAAATACTCTAGCATTCCTGAAGTAAGTAACAAGCATGATAACTCTGTTAAGATATCTCTTTCATTTGCAATCCAAGTCGTTCCTTGATGTTTTCCTTTCTAAGCATCTTTCGATCAAAATATTCGGCCATTCCATAGCCAATAAGTGCTAATGTTACGATGAACATATGAAAGTATATTTTCATGTAAACACACAGATAATAGCCTGATGCAAATGACAGCACAAAACCAAAGGACACGCAGACACGAAGCACGGCAAAAGCGGGTTCTTGTTTGTCAGCAAAGAATAGTCCACAAACAGCTACAAAAATAAAAATGACGTCACGATTTGGTGCATACAGCTCTGCCTATATGGCAACGAGCACTATATGTTCGACTGATAAATAACATTTTTTACCAAATCTTACGTTGTATACAACACAATTTCAGACAATGTTTTCGGTATTAGAGTTGTGTCGGTCAGGGGAGGGGATAATGGTTGTAAAAAATTAGGTTGTATGAACTACAAGTTCGGTTGAATTAGTTGTTACATGAAATATGGAATGTTTTGGTGATGAGCCACATGAGACATCGAAAACCAATCATTAACGCTGTCGAACTTACGAGAGAACGAGTGTTCTAACTATCGTAAGTTCTAGCTATTTAAAGTCGATCTTTATTATTTTTGAATGTATTCTTTAAAAACGAGAATGTTCTGTTTCAATTCTTAGCAGACGGGTAGATCTAAATTTGAACTCTCTGAAAATTAAAATTTATCTCAACAAACAGTTCTGTCCCAAATAATGGTTAATAAAGGGTCTCAGATTTTTTGCTTGACACTGAGACACAGAATAGGGAAAAATTTCCCTATTCTGTGACTGAGAGACCAGGCAGAGTAGGATAATATATTTATACTCACAGTTGGACTCTGTCCTCCATACGGACTTGGTCACGCCATAACAGGCAGCCACTAAATAGAAAACGTAAGCTGGGGATGACGAAGCGCGCCATTTTAGCAAGAAAACAAGCAGTCCCATCGACAGAACAGAATTAGAGACGATGATACTTCTACGACCAATGTATTGCTCAAACTTGCCAATCAAACCAGCAGAAACTGTTTGGGTACATAGTAAAACAGTGAATACAAAACCAAGGTTTTCAATACCAAAGGCACAAGTGACATACGACTAGAAGAAATAAACAGAGGCATGTTAGCAACGAGCATTATTTCGTCTATTGCATCTTTCAGAGACTTGAGAGCTTATGGCCAAGATGCCTATTAATTCCATACGTAGTTTAAAGCAGGACTAATGTCGGTGTCATGTGCGTTTCGGTAATCTTATGCATTTCGGTCCGGGTACACAAATGCATGACAATTTTGGTCATGCAAAAACGTACCAAAGCCCAAAAAATAGGGTACCAAAATGAATAGTGGAATTTAGCATGCGAACCGGTCCGGGTTCACTAACGCATGGCAATTTTGGTTATGCAAAAAAGTACCAAAGCCCTTAAACAATAGGGTTCCAAAATGAATCGTGATTGTATAGTGCACCCTCAAAACCAAGCAGAAGTCAGTGGCGTCGTCACAGGGTGGACATGTTCACCCCAGTTTTCCAAGAAGTCGATTTTCTAATTTCCGTTCGAAATCCGTCAAAAAACCTTTGGGGGGGGGGGGTGTTGCTTGGGAGGTACGCTGATCAGATCAATTTTGATTCTCGCACTTGCAAAAAAGACACCATTAAGAAAAAAGCTGCTTGAGAAAGTTGCTTGCCCAAAGGTAGGAAAAAGAAAAATTACTATACTAAATTACGAAATAGATAAAGAAATACCATAAAAGATCTTTGTCAGAAGGGTGTGGCCGAGAAAATTTGTTTTTGTGCTGGTTTTTTTGAGCTGGCGACGTCACTACCAGAAATACTTGGTTTGAAAAGTTGGACACAAAAACTGATAAAAACTATGGTTGAACCAACAACAATATCGTCCAGGATTGTATGATCAATAGTTTCTTGTATTTCGTATAAAGTATTCCTTTGTCATCTTCTACATTACCACCCTCAGCTTCAAGGTAGCAGGAAGTTTGGCAGGATAAGGATAAAATAATGTAAGCCACCCTCATTTATAAGCTGTCTTTGATTCTATGATGCAGCTAAATGTGACAAAAATAGTGACTAAAAGCTGCTGCTTATAATCGAATAAATACACAGGGCCCATGCCAACAGGGATGGGGGATGGCCGTGCCCCCTTACTCTTTTGTGAAGCAAGTAGTTTTAAAGCTGCAGAAAACAGGGAAAGTAGCCTTGTACCCCTACTTTTGCTAGCCTATGCCTTCCACTTCAAATTCGTGGTGTGTGCCCTGATACAGTACACCAATGGAAAGCAACAGCAGCATTACCTTAGCCAAATCAACTGCAATAAATCCAGGAGATAGACCAGCATAGATACAGAATGGAAGAAGACATGCCATTCTCTTATCTCTATAAACAATATTTGCAACTGCAAATATATGAGATTTGACTGACTGATTCTGCCTTTTCTCTTTAGATGAGCTATTTACATCGTCTATTGGAACCAAGATCAGCCCAGCTAGCACAACAGCACCTAAGAAAATTCCCATTAAGATGTTCACACTTTCAAGATTTGCAACTTTTACAGCTGCTGTGCCATTTGCAGCAGAAGACCACTGATTCTTGGAAGGGCAGTCAGCGGCACCACAAGTGTATTCCTCTGCATTAGTTATGTTGCCAATGGTTGCATCAGAACCTGTTATGGAGATATTGAGAAAGGAAATACTAAATTTTTAACACTTTTGCTATGATGCATCACACAATAGTGCCGTCGGAACAAAATTCATATTTGGGGGGGGGGGCTGCCCATTGTTTTCTTTTTCATTCAGTACACTGTTGTAAAGGAAACATACTACAGTTTGACAATTATTGGGGGGCTCCGGCCCTCCAGCCCACAATTCCCCCCATTTGACTCAAGTTAATACTTCCTACTTATTTAAGGGCAGTCTTGTGTCGATGGAATCTTGTTTCAATTAACTTTAAAAAAAATTACTACACATACATCCAAATGCAAAAATTTCCAATAAATATGCTTGATGTCATTTTAAAACTGAACCAAGAACTTGGCAAAACATGGTTACAAAATCATAAGTACACAAAAGAGATACTAACCATCTGGTTTCAGGACAATGGAGATCAGAAGACTCCCAATTATGTTTCCAGATGTCAAAATCATTTGGAAAACTCCAAAGAACTTTGTAATAGCTGGACCTTTCTCTGCTCCTGTGATGTCAACATACTGTAGTGCAGAAGATGTGATGTAAGTGGCTTTGGCAGTCCACACAGGCCCTGCTGCGATACCTAAAATAAAACTTTAAATTTTTACTGATAGTTGAACTTGGTTGTACTAAACCAAAGAGATTACATGTGATTAAAGTACAGCTGGCATACCTTCATGTTTTCAACCAGAGGGGTATCATTGAAAGACATACACTTTAGGTGACTGAAAAAAGATTGAAATACCCATATTTCAAAATTCAGTTTTTAATTTTAAATAAAGAAGATAAGAAGATAAATAAAGCAACTCTTTGTATCATTTTGTTACTAGAGACTATCAAACAATGCTTTTTTTAACAAACTGAAGCAAAATTACTGAAGAAGATTGGGGAATGTCACCAACCCCAAAGCCCCCAGTATCCAAACTCTAGCCTGTGCTCCAGACCTCTACTTTCAAGTTAGGGGTCTGGAACACAGGCTACCAAACTCCTGTACCTTGATAAAGACACTACCCTTTGGTGTCTCTATGTTATGCTTCTGAAACTGGATAAATGGAACCCCTCCATAGCAAGCTCTAAAGGGAACCGAAAATATTTCATATTGAAAGCAAGAGCAGTGAAGTCTGAAATGTTTTTGTAGTATGTTGTGTATGTTAAGACAGACTTACCAATGATAACTGATGCAGGGATCATTGTATACCAAGTTGGATACAAGTTGGCAGCAGCAAAGGGAGCATAACAGAAAGTGAATACCATAAGACTCCATTTACATCCTTTCTTTTTGACAATCATAGAAGAGGCAAAAATTCCTGTCAATATAGCCAAGCTGTACGAAACACTTAGAGAGGCAACACCCAGCCCCCCAACAGGATTCAAGCTACTTTGAAGATTCTGTAGGGATGCAAATGACATGAAGGTGACTGAAAACGACAAGCTTACAAGTAAGACGTTTTTCCAGATTAAGTATACTTTCTTTTTGCTTGAGATATGGTTGGTTGTTTCTCCAATTGGGCCTGCCAAAGGAGCATTTTCAACTTTGGTATCTGTATCACCAATTTCCATTGCTAAACATGCCTAAAAAATGAATATGATTGTACAAAAAGTTGTGATGCTTGATAATACTTAGCCAACTCAAATCAAGTTAATGATGGAAAATTCTGTAACATAAACACATAATTTTGAAACCCTCTATTTTGTTTGGGTGAAAGTAATTTTGGTAACCATCATCAATTGCCAGCCAAAGTTTTGTTCATTCTGACATTAAATCATGTTGCCATGCCTGTATACCATCCATGCTCATAAATGACACATAAATTTTTCCAGCTCACATCATGAGTGTCAGTGTGATCTTTTTCATCATCAATGACAGTTGACAGCCTTTCTTTGTCCTCAGTCTATGCAGAATTCCTATACAGGCTGTGGCATAGCAATGGGGAGGCAAAAGTAGGCAGACCCCAATGGCAAATAATCTCTTTGAAAAAGGGCATTTGGGCGTGGACCCCCAATTTTCCCTTGCTCAACTCGCCTTTGCCCCCCCCCAATCTCACCACCCTGGCTACGCTACTGCTAACATATCACTGTTGCATGACAATTTCCTTTGAAATTTTGAATATCTAAATTTTTTAATATTCTTAGGTTTTAACGATTAAGCCCTGTACTTTCTTAACTTTTTTGAAGAACTGACCATAATTTTCTTAGAAAGTACCTTACTTAAAAAAACTTGTAGGCATATTTTAATTCGATATTCATGTTTTCATGTATTCATTCGATATTCAATCTTGAATTGGTTTGACACTCATGCCAAAGTCCGCACTTGCACATTTGGAATTTCGCTCTTGCACACCTTAGATATCGTTGAAACAGTCATATTCTCTGCAGTCGGGCTTGGTGGGAAGAGGCAGAAAAGAGGGAGAAACCAAAGCCCTACACCGCCTTGTCCAATAGAAACATTTTTCCGATTCAATTTGTCAGCTAAAACGACTAGTCTGTCGATATTTCAGGGAAAATTAGAAAAAATTTCTTACCAAGGAATCAGCATTGACAATGTTATTCTATACCAACCACTGACCACTGAACACATATAGAACGATATTAAAACAAATAGAAAATATGATGAAATTAAAGCCTCGTTATCAAAAAGAGTTCTAGACCTAAACGTCACACATGTACCATCGTTGTCAAACCCTTTTTTACAAATACCGTAAATCCTCGAATAAGCCCCCGGGGGCTAATTTGCAAAAATGAATTTTTGGGTGGGGGCTTATTCAAGGAGGGGGGCCTTATTTCAAAGTTTAGTATTTTCCTCAAAGGTCGACATAAAAACGATGTAATTTTCTCAATGAAATAAATTGAAAAATTACAAAAAGTGTGAAGATCTAACAAATATTATAACTTTTTATCTTCACAAAAGTCGCTTTTTTGCTTTTTGGTCTTCTGCCAAAGGAAGTAAAACTGTAAAGCTATTGTCCTGTGGGGGGCTTTCTTGAAATAAGATATTATTCTGCAATTATGCTTCCCTCGAATATGCTCCCCATGGGGGCTTATTCGAGAGGGGTTTATTCAAGGGGGGCCTTATTTCAAAGTTTAGTATTTTCCTCAAAGGTCGACATAAAAACGATATGATTTTCTCAATGAAATAAATTGAAAAATTACAAAAAGTGTGAAGATCTAACAAATATTATAACTTCTTATCATCACAAAAGTTGCTTTTTTGCTTTTTGGTCTTCTGCCAAAGGAATTGATACTGTATAGCTATTGTCTTGTGGGGACTTTCTTGAAATAAGATATTATTCTGCAATTATGCTTCCCTCGAATATGCTCCCCATGGGGGCTTATTCGAGAGGGGTTTATTCGAGCGTGGGTGCTTCTTCGAGAATTTACGGTATGTTTGTTTCGATATTAATAACCTGATCGACATGGTTCGTTCAGGTTTTTTGGTTTGTCAACGCGTATCAACTAGGCTTCTCCTCTAGAGTTCCTACCAAGTGGCAGAAGGTATGGGGGTTTGGCAGAGCTCATTAACAATATTTTGTGCCTTCGAGCGCAAAGCTGAGTAAAAATGTTCCTGCATATAAAATAGGATGCAATTTATAGTCAGATATTGATAAATGGAGAACCTCCCTGTTATGCACAGTACTGTTACACCAGCTTAGGTTTGTCAAAAGCATATACCTTATCAATATCATCATGAACTACATGTAACTGCATGTAAAACTGAACAGATAACATTATAAACGCTACCAGTTTTTATCTACGGGTTGTTTTGGGTTGTCGAGTAGCCCTATCGCTATTATCAATTTCATCAAATAAAGACATCTTCAGTAAAAACACTTTTCGATTTTACACAGTAAAAACACTTACACAGTAAAAACATGGTAAGAACAACCAAATCTGTCATCTCAGATTATGTTGGGTGTATTGCTAATATTTTGGGCATGGCTATCGTATGTTCAAACGGTATATCTTCCACATTTGTAAAGATATGTAACTGCAAGTTCAGAATTTTTTTACTTTTGTTGTCACTATAGCTATAAAAAAATTATCAGATTCAAATCAAAAAATTTTATCAGCAGTAAGAAAAACATCTTCTCTTCTGGCTGATTGGAGCAAAATATTATAAAAAATGTTCAGTACGTTTTAAACAGGGGTTCCTACCTTCACGAAGGGAAGAAGGTCGAAAATTGCCAATTGCGGTGCTGCTATTAATGGATCTCTTTCTAGCAGAGCCTGTGTATTTGCGTCTTCAATATGATTAATGACAAAACAGAAGTGAAGACAGGTGACATAGAAGTTTTGCTCTGGTGGAGCCCCATATGCCGGGGTGAAATATTAGCCGCAGGTAACTCCGAACTTCATCGGAGTCCGTCTAACAGCCTGCTATTGTGAATTTCTTTACTTATACAGTAAGAAAAGTTAACTTGCAAACGAAATTCTAATAGACTTCTAAAGTGTGACGTCACCAAAAACCCTATTTCTAGAGTTTTTGAATTTTAACCACATAACATAAAAGTTCACCATGAAACACGTCCAAATATGCAAAATTAGTCAAAGAGGTATAAAATCGGTTGAGATATGGCCAACGAATCACTGTAATTTTGGCGCTGTTCATAAATTTATGAACAGCAAACTAATAACAGAGGTTTGATGGGGACACAAATAACGAATTTTGCACATTTAGATGTATTTCAAGATGCTCTTTCAGGCTATAGGATCCAAAGTTAAAAATTCCAAAAATAGATTTTTGTGACGTCATCATTTAAGAACTCTATTCTGAAGATCCTTTTTTGATAGCACGAATAAATCTAAACAACAGTGAGGCAAAAGTTAATGATAGTAAAAAAACAAGAAAACAACATTGCCATTTACAACTTATGTTTTAAACATAACTGACTCTTTATAGACCGCTACAACTTCAAATAACCTAAAATTCTAAATGAAATCAACAGATGCGATAACATCTTTATCGAAATTTCCATTCGGAAAACCGAAGCCAAAAATTTTGTCTATATGGAATCCAAACTCAAAATTTTCATTATAAGCGTCAAATTGAATTTAAGTTAGAAACAAAATTGTATCGGTTTCAATATCAGTTAAAATCGATACCGCAAGGGCCGTGTTATTTGGCAAATTCTTAAAAGCAGCTGAAAGTGCAAAGCCTCTAGCTACCTTAGCTTTTAATGCTCTGAACAAGAATAATTTTCTAGAAAATACAGTCAAAGACAGCCCTAAAAGGTTTGATATCGCGATGGCATTTGCTACTCCTTTTCTTCCTTGTCATCATCATCAGCATCTTCTTCATGCTCGCCGAGTTTCTCTTTCATTTTCTCGGAATACAGCTGGTCTTCGTAAAGTTTCTCGTCACGAGGTCTCGCACCACCGAAAATGCTACTTTGCTGGACAGAATCCGCCAATGCATTTACCGGATCCTTAACAGTACGTGGTAAAAGCTTCAACCTTGGTCGTCCACTTGTATCGGCTGTTGTAAATAACAATTCTTCTAAATAATACGAGAACAGTTTTAATTCAAAAAGTTTTTTTTGATATTTTCTTCATAGAAGGCCTAAAGCAAAAGATTATCAATGACTTTTAAGGACTTTTGCAATTAACGTGCAAGATGGGTAGACCACGAAGTTAATCAAAAATAGAAAACTGTGAAATGATAGGTTATGATTGGAGCTCTGTTTTGATTCAATTTCTGATTTGCGAATGTTAATGGGAATGCATGCAGTTAGCTTATCCATAAATTCCATACTTAATTATTTTGACATTGATTCCTTAATGGTCAAGCGTTTGAAAAACAAACACCTTGAACCAAAAAACTTTTAATGGCTTGCCTTTAATCACAACTGTGATTAATATATATTTCTGAAATCGTCATCAAATCAATATTAAAACAATAGCAATATGAAAATTTGTGGCTAGATCATTTGCTCGCACTTAATTTAAGTCTAGTCAAAAAAACACTGTGCGAAATATCCTCAAACCATTGACAAACAGCTACTGAATGTCGTGACCAATATCCAACTAGCCAAGTATTGAATGATGTAACACACCTATATAACTTGATAATAGCATATTTTCTAGTTCTCATTTCGAAACAAAGATTCCGACCAAATTTTCCGGGCCGACATTGGCACTTTATCTACAAAATCTTGGTCCGGGGAAAAAACCCTATTCTGGTACACCCCTAGTCTCATAAAAGACATCGCTTGTAAGAACAGGAAAGAGCATATGTGCAAGTTTTGTAACCTTATCAGTTAAAATTCAGAAACTTTAAAAAAAGGATGTGATTCTCTGTTCCATTTGATTGAACTTTCTCCATTCTTGTTTTCAATGTGAATTTCGGCAATTTTTAACAAGCTACATACTACAGCTAAAAGAGACTAAATTTCAAGAACCATCCATGTTTTTTAAAATTTTTTGGACTTCGTCATCATAAATTTCGTCATTCAAAAATGGCACAAATTTTAGACGACTCTGTATGAAACTTTACAAATAGCATCCCAGTTTAATATCTAACTACAAATTTTCAGGCAAGGTTTTTTATGCAAGAAATAATGATTGGTGTATTTTCCAAAAAAGAGCCTCAATTAAAGCCAAGAATTTGGGGGACAGCAAACGGGGGTAACATTTTGAAGGCTGCGAGAACCGGTGCCCGCTTAAAATTACTCTTGCAAGTTGACTACCTCCGCCCTCAATAAAACAGTACCTGCTAGGCTCAAATGCAAATTTCATATTTCTACCTGGCTCGGGTGCTTTGAATTCTTCGTACTTCTTCTCTCTCCGCTCAAAATCACCACCGGAGCGTCCACCCGTTCGTTGATCCCTGCCAAAGCCTCTGTCGCCACCGCCAAAGCCTCTGTCGCCACCGCCAAAGCCTCTGTCGCCACCGCCAAAGCCTCTGTCGCCACCTCCTCTACCTGCAAACCCTGTGGATTGCAGGGAAATAGCATTTAAATTTCAAATTGCTAAGTAACAGGAGGCAAAAAGAAGGAAAACTAAGAAATTCAATCAAAGACCATTGGAAAACATGGCTAGCAATGAGGATACAACAAAATAGAAAGAGATTTGAAAACTATTTACGAGTTTACAAAAATATGTTAAAAATAGCAAACTAAGAGAAATATCTGAAAGAGCGAGAAAGAAACACCAATAATATTATTAGTAATAATAATTCGTAGGCAAAAGACTATTGTATTTATCAATATAACAAAAATTGGCTGTAAAGGCAACATAAAACCAAGTTATTGAAAAACACGATTCGGGAATAATGTAATTACAAGAAGGTAACACGATAGTGAGCCGGCCCGCCCAGGCGAGTTGAAAACGTATCAAGTGCTGTTTCTTCCATTTTTTCAAAACTGTGCACATAGAGAAGGGAGCCGTTCTAGGATTGAAGCCTTACTTTGTTCCTGCCTCCCGGCGAAGCCTTGGTCAGGTGTTCTACTTTCGAAGCCTCTGCTGAAACCCCCTGCAAAGAGAACACTTTGTTATCAACTAGAATAATGTTGCACGGGTGTTCTGCAGTCGGCTGTGAGACAAAAGTATGGCAGAATCAGGCAAAAAGATGTGAAGCACAAGGTTGTTTTTGTTGACAATCTGAGACACAATACTTAATAATAAGCTTGACTAAAAAAACAAGAAAATGTACAAGTGTTTCTGCTCAAGTTTTGTTATATAGACAACAAACTTGTACAACTTTTGCATAAGCACATGTGAATGGCCAAATGACTGGAAAAAGGGTGAATGGACACCAGCATTCAAAAAAGATAAAAAGTATAAAAAGATAAAAGAAAAAAAAAGAAAAATTATAGGCCAATAACAACACTATCTACAATAGATAAGATTTTTGAGCAACTGATAACAAGCAAAAGAATTTAAGGAGATTTTAGTTGTTATCTGACAGCCTACAGGAAAGGTAACAGCACAGAAACAACATTAATTATGCTAATTGAAAATTGGAAGGCAGCTCTTGATAAGAAAGAAATTGTGGGCATACTTTCTACTGATATGAGCAAAGCATTTGATTCGATGCATCCACCTTTACTCCTGAAGAAACTTGAAACTATGATTTCTCTGAAAATGCACTAATGCTGATAAGATCCTACTTTGAGATGAGACAAAATCGGGTAAAGATAGGAAACATCAGAAGTGGCTGGATAGAATCAAAAAGAGGTTGCCCACAAGGCTCGTCATTTGGTCCATTGCTATGGAACATATTCCAAAATGACATGACAAATAAAATAAAAAAATGTAATGTATGCAGATGATCATAAGCTTTTTGTATCTGGACAATCCTTTCAAAACGTGGAAAGAGAACTGAATAATGATATAGAAAATGCATCGAAATGGTATCAGGACAACTTCCTAATTGCCAATAAAGATAAATATCAAGCAATGGTTATCAAGGAAAACAAAGCAAACGATAAATAAATTTGGGTGAAAGTTAATGAAGTAGACATTGAACAAACCAGTTCAATGAAGTTATTAGGGGTTACCATTGATGACAAATTGAACTTCACTGAACATATAAAGAACGTGTGTACAAAGGTGAGCCAGAGAGTTGGAGTAGTATTTAGAGTCCGTAATCTGATACCCACTGAAACAAAGTTGATTTTGTACAAAACTGTGATATTGTCTGGCACTTTTGTAAAGCATCAGATAAGCGTAAGCTTGAAAAAGTTCAAGAGAGAGCAAAAGTAGCTCATATGAAGGGCCATTAAGACATGCAAAGCCACAAACGCTCAATAATCAAGATTACAAAATATTGCCATCATGATGTTCAAAGTAAAACAAAATATGTGTCCAAAGTACATTCATAATTTATTTGAAATACCCAACAAAAGATATCATCTGAGAAATGCAGACTTTACAATTCCTAGATATAAAAACTGTTAAGTATGGATCGTTGAGGTACCTAGAACCTCTTGTATGGACTAAATTAAATAAAAAAGAAAGGACCAGTTCAAGTATTGATAATTTCTGCAACTGTAAAGACAAAAGGACCTTGAGGCCTTACTTAAAGACAATCATGCAATGAACATTGTAGGATCTGTAACTTTTCTTGAAAGTTTCACCTTAACATTTTACTTTTAATAGATTACGTTTTTTAATAAATTGTATGTAAATAGTGTCCCCAATTAGCAGAAATGCTAAATCAATTTGACACTGAAATAAAGTTTCAATGCTACACTACCCTCTTTGGGCTCAGAACACACTCAACAACAAACTAAAAAATTGTCATAGAAGCACATTTCTATCAGCGTTAGTATTAAATGAAGACTTTAAAGTATAAACTTAGTACCAATTATTCCACCCTTGTATGGTAAACCCCTTGATAAATTTTGTATTTGACAAAATTGCTTTCATTGTGTACAATATTTGTTTTCTGTTTATCTTGAATATCTGCAGTTTTCACTATATATTTGGTTGAAAGACAACAGTGTGCTAGTTCCATGAACAGGAATGAAATTTTGTATTTGAATCAGAGTTCGACGAATAGGGGTTCCTATTATCATAGTTCAGCTGTGACATTCTACAAAACAATTTAAAGCAGAATCATTCGAGAGTATCCATAGAGTAAGCAGGCTGAGAAGGAGGGGGGGGGGCAGATAACACAAAAGCAAACAATCGCAAAAAGGGGGAGGGGTGGCAATATTATTCTGCTTTAAATCGGACATACTCTTTAATGATTAGATAGTTAACCAACATGCTAGTGTACAAAAAGACAAACCTGAACGACCGCCCATATTTCCACCAGCTCCTCTCCCACGACCTCTTCCAGCTTTGTCTTTGCGACCTTCTGCTATGTCAACCCTCAAGTTTCGATTAACAAATTCCTATAAAAATTTAAATCATTCAAATAAATAAATAGCTTTAAATGAGGCAGGTACCAACACCTCATCAACAACAGCGAAACATTGAAGGGAAACATTGCTTTGAAGGGAAACCTTGTCATCAATTTTCAAAACTTCCTGGTATACTTCCAGGTCTTTGGTTCAGCATACCATTACCGCAGAGCTGCAAAAAGTATCGGAATTTGGGGATTAGATTCCCAGAAATATTTTTGGCTTGGCAGAAAATATTTTGCATAAGCAAACATTTTTTCTTGACTTTTTCACAATAGATCAAAAGTTTTTGCAAATGTGTGCTTAATGTCCACAGGTTGTAGGTTGCATCAAATAAAAAAGTTTCGCATTTTTGAAATCTTTATAAAAACTATTACTCATTTGTCAAATATCACAAAAAATTGTATAATTGGAAGCAATAAGTATAAACAGGTAAAATTATTTATCCTCCCTAAAGCTGGCATCTATTACCTTTCCCAAACACCAGGTGGAGAGCACCATCAATGAAGATGTTTTCTGCCAGTCAATAAACATATTGCCATTTGGTTCACAAACTAATTTTTCCTTTTTTCCCACAGTCAATTTTTGCCAAAGACACAAAAGATGCAATAAACAACCAAATCATGATATTTTATTGGAAATTTTCTCTAGACCCAATAAATTAAAAGCCCTTGTTTATAAATTTTTGGTGTGTACTACTGATACACAATAATTTCACCCACAGAAAAGTTTTTGTCCTGTTTCCCAGGTTCCCAGAAAGAAAAATATTTTTTGCAGCTCATTTATTAGCATGAATTTTCGAGAGGAAGGAAATAGAGAATTATCATGGATACGAATGGCACTCACAGCTCCATCATATTCAAGAGCTGCTTTCAGTGAATCAACATCTTCAAACTCCACATAACAGAAACCTATCAAAAACAATGAAAACAAAATTAGTCAAGTTTTTTCCAGTAAGATCTTTGCAAATAATTGCTAACAAGAAAATAATTAATCAATATATCTTTTCCATGCTTGTTACTTTATCAACAACACAAAGAATAGCAATATATATAAGATCTAAAAATATGGGATGGTCAATGTGATCATGATAAAGATCAGGCTGCAAATTGAGATTCCAGTCACTTTTAATCTCTGTGATAAAATGGGAAATGTTTGGAACATATAGCAATTTCTTGCTGGCAACCTTGATTTCTTTAATATGGATCATTCCACGTCAAATCATCAGACTCATGTAACCCATGGTCATAGAATTTCCTAACTATTTTGGCACAAAAGGGCCACTTTGGAGAAAAAACTACATGAAAAATTTCAGCTTTTTATCACTAATGGCTTCCATTTTGTAGCTGTTTCAAAAGTGACCCATTTGAGCCAAAAATGCCTGACCCAGTTTACCAAAGGAAGGGTGGTTGTTTTGAAAATATTCCCAACCAGTGTATATGAATATTGAAAAAGCCCTGTAGCTGGAACCAAAGCATAAAAAGCTTGCATGATTCTGAAAGTGTATTCTTTAGACATTCAGAAAATGTCTTAGATTACAATTGCAATTGAAGCATTTTGAGTTAATATTACCTTACAAAATGGGTATAATATCAAAAGAATCATGAGCAAAAACAAATTTTCATTTAAGGTAATACCTCATGAAATACAAAGAGCTGCTAAAAACATCGAATCAATCATTATTTAATTTTCAATGACAGCAAAGAATAGTTCAAAATGATTCCTAGTCATAGAAAAGTCAAGATACTGCTTTATGGTCACTGTAGCTGATGCTGTAAGTTTGACCTGTGATTATTTTGGATGAATAAACTTTGCAAAGCATGTGTAAATTTAACACACAGGTCTTATCTGCTTGGTCGTGTTAAGCTCTGATTGGGTCCAGTTTGGTGCATGAAGTTTATTTGAAATTCCCCCTGAAATTTTCATTGAGGACATAAATCATACCAACCTGCCAGTCATTCTCATATAGGTAAGCAACATTCTTTGAGTCCCAATGCCAATTTCTGCTCTTTTAGAAGCAAAAGCAAGTTTCCTGTGGAATCTCTATCATCAGAAATATACTTGAAAGCAATCTTTTGATTTTATAAGAAATAAAAACAACTATTTAAAAAACATATCTAAATACCTTTGAATTTGTCTGTTTCCTTGTCTCTCACCAGTCTTACACTTCGCACCTACAATGGATAGTTCATATTATAGGAAAATAAGAGGTTAAATAACATATTATGAAGAACCTCATCTCCTGAAGAAATCTTAAGGCGGGGACTGAAGTTTTCTCTTTGAATTAATTCACAACCCACTCATGGTTGTCCTCTAGAATAAAGTGCTGTCATTGCTACAATTTCAGGCTCTGAATTGTATCACAGGAATATTGGACCTGCAAGTGAAGGTATTGTCCTGCAAATTTTGATGACAGAGTGATAATCGGAAGAGTCACTCAGCATTTTTGAGTGAAGCCTTAAGTTTATGAGTGAAGCCTTTCGCATGAATTATTTTAAATGCTTATTCTTAGTATGAAATCGAGAATTAGCATGCAGGCAAGATTTATAAAAGTTTACTGTGCATTGGAAAATATTAAGCTGCTTGCTACATTTGCTAGAATAATGTTGTCTTCCAAAACAGAAACTACCAAAACAGAGTGAGGCATCTATAAGATCGGAAGTACTTAGGAAGTTTTAAGGCTTCCCAATGCTGAGCTGTAATAGACCCATTGGATGGAGTTTTTTGAATAAATTAACAGATCATTTCTACCTAACGTCAAATTTACCAAGCAGTCAGCAACCAGAATTGTATTCTTTGATCTTCAAACTATTTTTGAAATTTTTTTGGAAAATTGACAAGAAAAATAGGTTGCTTGGCCTCTCATCTTTCTTATGGTGCATGGTGCACCACCTCCATTGACAAGACAAGCATAATCTCAAGTTGGAAACAAGTTTTAACATGTATTCTATTGCTGGGGGCCAGAGATTCTAAGCTTCAAAATTAACAAAGGGACCACCTTGAGCGACCTTTTTGGTTATTCTAATTCTGTGACTGAATTTATCAACAAAAGTGTAGCGTGAGAAACAATTGTGCAATGATTCCAGCGCCTCAGTGGTCAAGCAACTACAGGAGTGACACCACATAACATGACTTATCACCCAACTGTCAATTTCTGTGGCTTGGTCTGTCCTCAGTGCACAAACTAATCAACCTTCACATACACATGTATATATATGAAATATTATAATTCAATAGTTGACAACAATTGTTGTTACCTTGAGATCTCGGAAAATGTCATCAACATCTCCCTGTACACAGTTAAAAGGAAGATTTCCTACATATGCTGTAAATGGTGCCTCGGTTGGAAGTCTAGAATCAGCCTGACCACCTCCTCTTTGCTTGAATCCACCTCCGCCATTTCTGTTAGACCTTCTACCACCACCATATGATCCACCAAAATCACTTAAAGTCAAAACAAAAAAGATCAAACATCTATGCAATCCATGTAATATGCTGGCGTCAGGGGCGGATACAGAATATTAACACTGCCCAGCAGGTGGTCTAGGGGGCCTCCCTCATGGTCAAGGGCGGAGCCATGATGGGGGCCCAGCTGCCCCCCAGAACCAGATCAATTAGGACTGGGGCCCTAAAACATTCAAATTGTTCAGTCAAACATTTGACCCTTTAAAAGGTTTTCCAAATTTTCCATCAAATCCAACACGCAGTTGAAACAAAATATCTTGAGATTCAGAAGTGTACACTTCCTGTGCACCTTTTCCGATAGATAAAGAAAATTGGGACTCTTCCCTTTCACAACTTACAACCTCATCCACTTTCTTCCCTTGCCAGCAGTTGTGCGGCATAGTAATCTAACACAGTGTTCATATGTGAAAACTTGAGTTTTGATTGGTGAGATTTGGTAAAATATTTGCATAACAAAGAGCCCTGCATATTTGTGCGGCACGGGCAACATGCTTAAAAATCATACTGTTTACGGTCTAGGGTGGTCTTGGAATTCTTTCTATATTGAATTAAATTGTAGCATTGTGTGTTAGATCGACCAAGTTCGGTCCTGTGTTTATTGTGTAAAGAGAGCAAAATGTATTATCTGTAAGGAGAAAAATAAAAGATTGTGGTAAACATGATTGCCTTATTTCAATGACTGAAGACTAAAACTAAATTCTGAAAATCTGACAGTCTTCTGTGCGACCAGTGCGACACCCTGAATCTGCCCCTGGCTGGTGTGCTCATAATTACATGCCTTGAAAAGTAAAAGTAATGGCACTCAACTCATGAAATGTACATGAAATGCATATAACATAACCAAAGGACCAATCAAATGTGTCTTTCTTCCTTTCATGCCACTTTCAATCTCAAGGGTACCAACTTTCATCAAACACCCCATTTCTTTGGCATCTATTACAATTCTTTATTCATTTTAACCATCTCAACTGACATCATAGCCGATTTAACATTCAACATAATCTAGGTGACATTTATTTCAAATGCCATAAAGTATAAAATCTTTGTCTAAAAAACCAACTCACAACCAAGTACAGAAGTGCCAAAATATTTGTTATAAATCTATATTTGTTATAAATTGATATATTGATTCCTGTTTTATTTAATCTATTACCATTTTAGAATGTCTGTTAACTCAAACTCTACTTCATCAGTTAGGTGGTGCGTGCACTTTTGAGGTTCATTGCTCATGGAAGTATATAGCTCCACTCTTCTAAAAACGCCTTTTCGTACATTTCAATTATATATGTAGTGCCACAAAGCATCAATTTCCTTATCGTAAATCGAGTGAATCTGCCAATACAGCACACTTTTTCGCTACTAGAAAAACGTTGACAAAACCAAATAGAGATTTATCTCACTGGTTGTTTCCTGTAAAGCAACTGCCACCGGCACCCGAAAAAGACGTGCACAAGAACGAAAACAATTATAAATCTTTCCGAAATTTGATAGGTGCTGTCTGCATTTGCACCAGAAAGGCTTATAATGAAATGTCCACAAAATTCAGGTAAAAGTGAAGTCGCTAGTCTTGTGAAAAAAATTAGGGAAAATTGTCGTTTTCTATCATTCTTTGGGTGAAAATCTTAGGTAAGAAAAACAGGTAGCCCAAGGATGTTGAAAAAAACATCGACGATGAACTTGAGCTATTGTGACTTTGTACACTGAAATGAGAGATATGCTTTAAAGAATTAAGATATTAACTATTTACCACTCAGAAAAATAATGAGTGTTAATTTCTCAGTGTCGATGACAAACTCTTAGGACTGAAGTGGCAAGATTGCTTCCCGTGTCCCGCCGATAAGAAACACGATAAAAAGACAATGTATACGAATTAAACAACTAGCTATGGCTCTTAAATAGAAGAAAAGTGTTTTTAGAGCATTGAATTGTGGTACCTCGGTCCACTGCTTGTGCTAAAGTTGTCATAGAACGATCCATCCTGTCCCCATTCACCATCGGGAGCAGCCATTTTGCATTTTGAGGCGAAAGAACATGTGAAAGGAACACCGCAGAGGACCCTCCCTCCTTCACAGCGGCAATGCCATAATTATTGGTCCAGTTAACTTGCCAAATAAATGCAATCAATCTTTAGATGCAATTTGATACAGCTGGAAGCCAGGGGCGTACCTTGACGATTTGGAGTAGGGGTGTGTTGACGATTTGAACTCTTGCTAGTCAATGTATACACACCAATAAACTATATATAGTCAATATACGCATCTACCAACAATCCATAACATTTACCGGCCATCCATAAAATTTACCGACCAACTTTCCAAAAGTGGGGGGGGGGGTATACCACCCCACACCCCCGGTAGGTACGCCCCTGACAATTGCAATGCCATACACAGAAAATTTTTGGCAGTGGAATAATCAACGAAATGAGCCTTTGCTCTGACAGAATGCCCTATAGTGCAATCTTTAAAAAAAGCAGTAAAAAGGTGTCCAGTGTTAACTTTTGTTGTACAAATGTCCGCTTAATCAAGCCTCTGGAAAACTTTCGTATTTTGATACTTCGAGTTCCCTGGAAAAGGCACTTTTTAGCCAGATAGATAGAATTGCACAAAAAAGGGCAACTGGATTGTTCCATGGGCAAATTTCCCTTCAGGGCCTCCGACGAAGGGAGGCCGGTGACGACTTTTTGCAAAACAATAGACCTTTTTTCAAAATCTATTGTTACAGATGTTAAATTTTCAACCTGTGTCAGAACCAATGCCCTTGCAAACAAGTGCAAACTAATTCACGCCATGGTCCCCCAGGTCCCCCTTTATCGGAGGTTTTTAATTTTATGACCCAGCAGAAATGCAACAATGTTTTACATTCACATTTATCAACAGTAAATGGTTTAAGATTTTATGTTGACAACCTGTAAAAAAATTTGATGTTTCATAAAACAACTCGCCTATATTTCTCGATCCACGTATCAATTGATCAATTTGTCAATACTCGCATTCAATATCCACATTTAAGTTGATGAAATTTTTTATCAAAATTCACTTTTAAATCGCTGAATATTGTATAAGAATAATGCCAAGAATGTAAAAACCGTCCTTATGCCTATTCTGGAAAAATTCTGTCCTAAAATTGTCCATTTCACTAAATTACAGAAATTTCGATAAAAGGATTCCAATGGTATGATGTTTGTTATAATTAGTTTTTGATGAAAGCAGAACCAGCATTCACATATCAAAGGCCTAAGGTGGGGGTCACAAGTTTAAAAAATGTTTCTTGAAATATTGTGCAGTAGATTCTAGACTTCGCAATGTGGAAAAATTCTTCATTTTTTAATCTTTTTCGAGCCATGGCATAATTGCCTTGAAAAATCTAACAGCACAACCCAGCTGAACAAAATGAGTCTCCGAGGCCTGATAATGACAACATTGTCACTTAATATGTTTATACTCAGTGTTCACTCTTACAGAACAGACATTTGATGTGACAAAATTATGGTGAATAATTGCTCATTAATTTTCTTTAAAATTCTTTGATGAAAATTCGATAATTCAACACTGTGTCCTGACAATCCTTTGGAACACAGAACCTCGGCACACTAGTTAATACCCACTAAATTAAATATATGCATTTTGTGAAAATTTTCAACGATGCTTCAATCTTACTTAAAAAGGGCTCGAGGTGACTTTTTTCTTGAAATATTGCTAGAATGAGAGAACCGCGGGAATAATGGATGATCACAGATATGAAAAATTTGGTTGAATTATTTGTAACAAATTGATCCAAGCGATAAATCAAAGGTTAAATTGTTATATGAACACTTTAGCTACAAAGATGTGTTATTGCATCCATGTAAAAGTTTGGCAACAAAGGATTTATAGCATGCTGAAAAAGGGGGTAATTGCCCCTCCAGCCCCAGTGACATTCAATGATTTAAAAATTAGGCTATTGTCCTCCTCCTTAAATGAACAAAGACTTGTCCCCATCAGGTTTCGTATTGTACACTTCCGTGACAAATGTATTAGGACGATGAATAACAAAATGGCGGCTCCAAAACTAGCATTCTAACATTGATTGAGTAAATCTTGCTATTTTGGCGGGATTCTAAAAATGGCGTCTGCAAATATGCAATTGCTAGCAAATTCAATTTATTTCCTACCTTTCTATGATAGAAAAGTAACAGAATGTCAAGGAGAAATGGAAAGTATCAATGTTTTAGTTTCAATGCCGAAAACACAAAAGCGACCAGAAAGAGAACGAGAAGCAATAAAAAATTGGGTCTTGCGTTTCATCTGTTTGCTAAAACTGCAAATAAGTTTGGTTGCAGCAAGTCTACTTGGTTGGGCCTAATGGCATCTGCAACCAGCAAATTTTCTAAAAGTAGGGTTTTGTCGGGTTTTGCTTTCAAAGTTCCCAAAGCAATAAATTTAGCAAACAGTTGGGATAAGATAAGGTTGTGAACTTAAAAGTATTGCCCAAAAGCCCTCAACAATTCAAAACAGGAAAAGATAGCTCTATGGGTGTCACGGAGGGGCAAATGTCCCCCAAAACTTCAAATGACTGCTTTTCGGCAGCCGGAGTCTAGAATCTTATGTCCAATTTCCAGGGCGACCAAATTTCTACCTAAAGTTTGGGGTTTAGTGAAGGGTCAAAGTTTATTGAAAAACTCTGAACGTTGATCCTGGAGGTACTGGAAGCCACTGTAAGCTGATGCGTTAATTGCGTCAAAATGCCACACCCCCACATTGAAATATCTTAAGCCACGCCCTATTTTGTCGGCAAATTGGTGAATGGCACCCCCCTAAGTGAAAGTGCTTAGCGACGGCCCTGTCTGCAACCTGGCGTTGTGTGCAAAGTCAATCAATGCTGAATATTTTGTTCAAATGTTCGTGGAGTGCCCCAAAGCAAGTACAGAAACAAGAAATGATTCTTTGCAAAAACCATTTATTTTTAAGCAAGACAATAAACCAAGTTATGTTGCAATTGTGACATAAATTTCCTATAACAATAACATCATGGCCTTTTATTAACCCCGTCAAAGTCAAGGACTTGATTTTCATTAAAAAAAATCCCAGATATTTTCTTATAATTCATTCCTCTTTTCGAATCTGAGAGACATTATAAATGGTTAATGATGCTTCGGACTACAGAATGAAAAAATGAAAAGGTATAAATCATATCAGCTCTGAGTGGCGGATCCAGCCAAAAATCTGACTACTGCCGAAATGAGATAGAGGATCGACCACACCCTTTAGACCACACCTATTTCCTGGTCCCACCCTGTTTTCTAAAATGATTATCATTTACTGTAATTTCTTATGTAGACCATTTTCAAGACATAAGCCGTGCTTTAGTGAAATTTCAAGTATCCTCACAACAACCTTCAGAAGCAACAAATAATTTTATTTAATATTCTGAGGATGGATATTCTAAAAATATTTACGGCATTTTGCCGAGGAACACCATAGAATAAGAAAAAAAGATACATTTGGCAGAATTTTGAATTGTCCCCTAAAACTCGCATTAAGTCACACAATTACTTATGAAAATCAGACCTGTTGGAAATAAATAGTTTAAAAAGCCAGATAAAATTTGCAATTATTGAGAGCAACTTTTGTTAAACAAAGAATAATACTTTTGGCGAACTTTGTGGGCCTGATTTTCAGTCCTGGTGCCTTCTTAAATTTTAGCATATTTGAGTATTAATATTCTTATAAAATATTTTCCTACCAATATTTATGTATTGTACAAAATAATGGGTCACATCCAGGGGCGAAACTACTGGGGGGTATGGGGGGTGCTGCACCCCCCCAATCTTCAAAAAAGCAGATTTTGTCGGGCAAATTTATGGAAACACCATCTAGAAATACGTTGTTGAGAAAATCAATCAATAATTTTTTTTCTAAATGTATGAAACTTTCATCATACATTCATAAGGAGTTATGCCCCAAAATTCTCTTAAGGTTTTACACTTACGGTTCGAAAGTATTGCACCCTTCGCTAGAAAATGGTCATACAGACGCCAAAGTGTTTTAACTAAAAAAATTCGAATAACCGTAACAAGTAACAGAAAGTTTTAATCAATTCAAGCGGGAAATAATATAAAATTTATCAAGAAATTGTAGTTAAGATATGAATTGCAAAAAACTTTCGAGTTTATTCTGTTTCTGAAAAATATCCATGATTACAAAAACACGAAAATTGAGCTTTGATGATAGGTGTACCTGTAAAATACCTCCAATAAAAACTTTCCCTTGCTTGAGGGATTTTGTTATGGTGAATTTAGAGATACGTACTTTGTGCTTGGGTGTCTAAAAATGTTGAAATTGCTTCCGGAGCAACCGAAAATTGAAAATGAAACTCAGAAAATGCAACTGAAGCTCTTTTTTGCTGAAACATTGTAATCTGCGTAGCTGTTTCTAAATTCCGAAATTTCCAAGCTGTGTTTTGGTTCCACTTTGATAAAATTGAGACCCTACTTCAATCTCTTTTTGAATTGCTCCTTTAATAGCTAGGTGATTTAGAAAGTGAAGACTTTTTTTAGACCTTTTATAGAAAAGACAGGCCTTACAAATGCTTGTTTTTTGGAAACAGATGTTTATAGCCAACACCAGAAAAACTAGAGGCATATTTCTTGACTTTAAACAAACAGCCTGGGCCGATGATTTCAGCCCTTGAGGCGATGTGCTTCAAAAATGAAATTCATGTATGACACGCCCTTTCATCAAGCATGCCACGCCCTTTCGTCGGGCATCTAAGCTTCATACCCCCCTAATGAAAATAGTGAAATTTCGCCCCTGGTCACATCGGCTTTGAAGTTACAGTTTGCCTACTTGCAGAATATGTAGGCATCCCGTTGAGCGGCAGTACACTAGCCTGTGCTCCAGACCCGGTCTGTGCACCAGGTCTGGAACACAGGCTACAGTACATCTGAGCGGTAGTCAACTCGGTTGCTCATTGGTTGTCAATAAAACTTGTATGCATCCCCCCAGGTTGGCTGTGATTTCTGATGATTTGATTGGTCTAGGCAGGCTGACTACCGTTCAGTTTAGCTCGAATCCGCTCTTCACCGACTCAACCCCCTAGCTAGCAAGCCATGATTTCATCATCCACCCATACTATACTTTTATTTGCAAGCATGTGACTCAGCCCATAGCGATAAGGATTAAAAAGTGGCAATTTTAGGCATGTTTCTAGGAAGGAATGCTTGGTTTGCAGCGCGATCAAATATTTTCAATTTTTAACTATGGTTTTTAAAATAGTAGGATAGACATGAAAATGATCCTTGTTGTTATAAGTTTTTTAATAATCTGACTACCACTCGAGCGGTAGTGGCGGTAGTCTGGATCCGCCACTGCTCAATCTAAAGAGCAAACATTGGAGCTCTGTATTCAGAGAATGATGAAATCTCCTCCATGTCCGAGTTTTGGCACGACCTCTCCTTTCCTTTCTCCAATATCTTCTGAAAAACTTCAAATTGTCTATTCTGAGTGGTATAGTATTTTGGTGAATTTTTATCTGGGAGCTTTATTTTTAGCCATTCTAGTAGAAGCCAACTTAATGTAAAACATTTTCTTTCACTTCGGTCTTCGGTCCTACTGTCCTAAAATTTTTAGATTATGATTGTCTCGTTTCCATTATTCTAATACGAGGCAATTAGGCCTATCCTTTGATAAAAATATAAAATTGTCAGCGGAACCAGAAAGTAGCCGAAATTTACTGAATTTTAGCTTCACAACATACACAAAATGGTAACATAAGCTTTGCCATACATTTAATTTCTGTACCCTGTATGCATGTATATGTATAAGGTTGCTACATGTATATGTATAATTTTCAAGCTTCACAGCATGAAAATTCTGCCACAATTTTACTGTTAGCTGGTCACTCAACGGTTGCATCTGATGTTTCTTATGTACCGGAGAGTTTTTTTCGCAGAATTTTTCGTGCACGTACTAGTGATAATCGATTTAAGTTCACCTGACTGATATATTTTTCATTGTATTTAACAATAGCAACTAAGGACCTTGTTAGTGTTGAGTATGCCCCTAGCTTAGCTTTGGAAAAATCGGCAATCTTCGCCGAGATTTTGGTCGTGCAAGGGTTTTCTCCCATTTTTGAGCATGCACTTATTGAATATGACCCTGTTTTGAATAAAATGACTACAAATGGGTATGCAAATATTGTTCAGAAAAGTTAGGCGTTTTTTGTAAATCTAATTCAGTACTTGGTCCTACAAAAGATTTCTGATTCCATCCTTTTCTTGGACAGTTAGAAAAATTTCTCGACCTATTTCTTGCCTGCTCAAAAGATCTTGCCGAATTAGGCTGGCTGATTCCCAGATGAGAAAACTTGCACTCACAAGCCAGTTTTATGCAAATTTAAAGACAAGGGTGGCATGTAAAGCTCACATCAGCTATACATCAATAAACAATAGAAATACAATGGAAAATCTTTAATCCACACCATATTTTTCTGACAAAGCTACATTAGTTTAAAGATCTAAACTTGGAACTGATATATCTCTTAATATCACATCACATATCTAAAAATCTCTATCTGAAATATCTAAAAATTTTCAATTTGTTAATTGGAATGTGTACCTACAAGTATGATCTTATTCCCAGGCTGGAAAGCTGGGAATAAGATCTTATATCATGCTTGCAGCTACATGGGAATTCTTGTGCTGGCACCTGACCCACAATATCATTAAAGTCATGTATTATATACTATAGTTATATTTTGGAGTTGAAGAAAATCAGACCACAAGTTTCATTTCTACAGTCTGTTCCGTGAATAACTCACACCTAAGGAGATGTTCATATATCACGCTCTATGTGCAAATGTATTGAGCACTTTTTCACAAAATAAACTTATACTATAGTCATATATTTATATATATTTATATAACTTATACTTTATATATATTCATATATCGTGTTTTTACTCACAGTCTGAATGCCTTCACTCTCAGGCTACAGCTGAAAGTGTGCTGCTACTTGAGCCAAAATCATTAATGTTTTCTAATCTGGTCTTATTTACTTTCATTTAGAATTGCGAGTTGATCAATCATTGTAAATCAACCACCTGTTTAGCAAGTCATGATTTATTGCTATGTTGTTTCTTTGCAGTTTGGATTTGGAAATGTGTTTGACAATATGCCCCGGAGTTTCAATACTCAATACAGATGCTTTTCCGTGTCAATTTTACGAGAAAGAGATGATGTTGAAAGAGGAGGGAAAAGTATTCAAATTTGTTGCCTATACATTGTATTATTTTTCGTTAGATTCTTTTATATGTGACTTATTGCATTAAAATAAAGTGGTATACCAAATAACGTGGTAACGCATAAATGCAATCAAAAATTTTCAATATCGGCAAAATTATTTTTAACTGAAACACTTCCAAATTCAATACAGAAAAAAACAAAAAAAGACAAAAAAGCTTCAAGTCAAGGTGGATTATTCCAATTAAGGCAGCAGCCACATGGGTTGAGCCTAAATAATTGTCAATGTTAGGCGTAAAATAAAAGATGTAGAGGACTCCCTGACCAGGGAGTATTTTGATGACTCGAAAAGTACTGGGGATTATTAAGCAATATGAAGATGACGACAAAGATGTGGAATTTCAGGGGAACAAGTTAATAATGAGAACATTTAAATGTTATAAAAAGTATTTTGAGTCACTTTTGTACCTTGAATTTAAAACTAGGAAAGGTGTTCTTAATAGAACTTGTCCTTACATTTTGGAAGCTTTCTGTTTTCCCCATTTTCAGGTATAATAATATATTTAAGATATATAGCCATAAAATCTTTCTATTTTCAGTAATTTTGTAAAGTTGCATAAAAAATAAAGTGGGATGAAATAAACTGATGTTTTTTTCAACTCTAAACATTTAATAACAAATGAGAAATTTACCCTGTTATGAAACTAACAGGGTTTTAATTAACATTTAATTTCTCATTTTGCATTAATTAATATACCTGGTTATTTTCCTCTAATAAGGTATCTTAAAATCAATTACTAATATATCTTTCATCACAACAGCAGTCTAATAAACAAATTTAAGCATGAAATATGGTTTTGCAATATAACACTGTCCTGTTCTATGCAACTAAGTATTTATGTGTTAGTACATAACTATTAAAGATGCAAGGACAGCTCAGTTGTTAGGGTTGCAAAATTCAGATCCAAAAGTTTGGAGCCGTGTGTTATCATCCTGCAACTTTGTATGAAATTAGAAATAGCCCATAATTTATGAAACAATAGTATGTAATCTAATATTTATCTTAAGTTTTTGTGTAGCATCTTACGAACTAATAGTAATTGCAAGTGTGATAAGTAGCATTATTTTAAAAGGATCTTATGTGATCAAATAAGATCTTTTCAATAACATAATTGTTTGGAAAAGTTTTTGTCATATTTAAACTTTTATTTTTGTTCTACATCTTGAAAATGTTCTCTCTTTTAGTTATAATGCCACCATCTGCCCTGGATTTACTTAGTAAGTAAAAACCTTGTAGCTGTTTGTTTTTATTTTAGTTTGATCCTTTAAATGTTTTGTATTGTTATATAGCATGTTTGTGGTTGATGGGATGCTCAAATTTGAGAATTTTGAATAAATTTTGAGCTTATTTATCATATTGATTGGAATTTATGATATCATATGGTTTGATTAAAAACATGCTTGAGATGTTAAATGAGATCACCCTAGGACATCAAGTACTTTCAGGCCTTGCCCGGAAAGGCGCTCGATCGAGCGCGCGCGCCTAGAGCGCACCCAAAAGAAGCCTTGGAGAGCGATTTATAGAGCCCCTCAAAACGTAAAAACAATATTACCACGGAGGAAAATAATTTTTTGGCCTTTGTTTAATAAACTTGATCAAGCATAAACAATCTTCCCAATAGACCGCAATATTATGATTTGCGTGAGATTACCCCTTGAGAAAAAAATTCAGCAAATTCAACGTTGGGTTTTCGTTACCATTTTTAATCTAATAACCCTCTAATAACCACCAAGGACACAGGCCATCAAGCGTATTCTCCAGCAGATTTATTTGATTTTCGAGCAAGCGTTAATCTTCTGTTGAAGTATTATTTTCTGTTTTTTCTTAATAATTTAAAATCACCTTTGCAAATCAGAGATCACATTTCCGTCTAAATTACCGCATTGGTTTTCAGTTTTAATTTGCTTTCGCGAGTAGTAGATGTTCTAGTGTGTCTTATAGAATGGATCATATAAAAAGGGAAACAAAGTTAATGTTCGACTTAAAGCCATGCGTTTTCCTATATTTCTATCTTTGTATTAACGTAGTGTTTGCTGCATGTTTCGTTATTTCATATTATGATGCTTTTTGGTATCACCATTGAATTTCTTATTTAACACTTTTCCAAAGCTTTCAATATGAATCTCTCCATCTTCCAAAGCTCTTGAAGGATGCTCTCAAGGATATTTTATTTAAAGGTGCGAAATAGAGCGCCTAGAGTTTCAAAGGGCTCTTATTATGGAGCACCTTCTTTTTGCTTAGAGCAAGGCCTGTACTTTTATGTTTAAGTAAATTTTCTTCTTTGAGAGAGCTACTTAACTTCTCTGGACATACTTGATAAATGTATGTTATTTTGAGTAATGTGTCTATGAAGTATGCATTTTGTAAATTGGTCAAAAATTTGCTTACATAATGACATTTGAATTGAATTGGAAATAATGATAATATGACAGAACAAATATTTCCATCAGTGTCACATGTAGTCGTAGAGCCTGCTATTGTGAAGATAAATTTTTCTGTTTTAAATTCTAGCAAGGCTAAATATTGTTTATCCCATGCTGTTCAAATTATCAAACTCGAGAAAAGAGCGAGCCACACACTGTGGTGTTTTAGAGTTTGTTGCAGATGAAGGCAAAGTATACATTCCATACTGGGTAAGGTTTTAGATTTCAGAAGCATATAAAAGTAAAATTGTTGAATAATGCTAAGAAATGTAATATTCCAGGAAAGTTAGTATGCATGCATGATTGAACACAAATATAAGGGCCAAGATTTCCTTTTCAAATGAAAGAAGGGTAAATAAAAGAGAAATCTGAAAGTGATTCTGTACAATAAAGAACTGTAGCCTTATATATGTAGGCTTATAGTTTCATGGATCTTTTTAGACCAAAACTACCTGTTTGTGAGAGACCAGACAACACCTGAGCAGTGCTAATAACTTCCCAAAGTTATCCAATTTTGTTGTGACTAATGGATTCTCCCTTGTGTAAATCTAAATTGATTGATTTTAATAAAACACCTATTCATTCCATTCAGAAAACAGACCTAATCCATCCAGGTCACAGGAATAGTAGCCTGTGAAATATGCTTAGAATCTGATACAATATTCAATATTGATGAGATTTATTGCCATTATGTATCTTTTTGCAATGTGAATATGATCTCTTTGATGTAAAATTGCATAATTATAATACTTTCCTTTTTGTGATCTGTCTTTTATGTTGGCAGATGATGAGGAATCTGTTGCTGGAGGAAGGTGATTTAGTGCAGGTCCAAAGTGCATCTCTTCCTGTTGCTACATATTCTAAGTTTCAGCCACAATCTGTAGAATTTCTTGATATCACAAACCCAAAGGCAGTGTATCCTTTTCTTAAGAAAAGTTATTTCTGTCTCTTCTTCTTTGTTTCATGTTAAAATTGACATATTGTGTAGAGTTGATAAAACAAAATAATTAATATCATAACATTTTAACCAATAAAGATTGAAAATTGTGAATAAGTATAAATTTTACTTAACAAGTATCAAGTCTGGAGAATGCACTGAGGTCTTTTGCCTGCTTGACAACTGGTGACATGATTGCTTTTACATATAATGATCGGGTAAGAGTTTATTCTATTTTCTATTACATTTTAAACATGGTTGGCATTTGGAATTTGTTTCTGTTTCTAATCTTATATTAAGTAAAAGCAAAAAGATTAATTTATGCTATCTTTGTTGAGGCTTTGGTCATTGACAATATATTTATCACCATTCTTTAGGAAAGGAGAATTCAAAGCAACTGCTCTGAGTTCCACATATAATTGTTTTTGAAGCAGTTGGTTGATGATGACATTGGAAATGAAAAATTGAGAAGCACTGTCTTTTTTAAAGTAGCATGAACATCAAATAGCATAAGCAACAGTCTATAAGGCATTGCGTTGGACACTGTGCAACAGACCAGTGAAAACCAATCTTCATAACATTGGTTTCCAGCTAGTTGCCTGATTATGCAGTTAGTTTGCTAGTAAACTTCTTTTTATACATACTAGCAAACTTCGAATCCTTTATTTAGTAAAATTTGTCATTAGCTGATTGTTTCTTCCAATGTTTTTAATCAATAAGCTGAAACATGTTTTGAAATGTATTAGGATGTAAAATTCAATTAGATATTGTGAAAAAATAATCAGTTGCAAACTTTTTCTTTGTTACTAACCCTAGGTATACGAAATTCTTGTTATGGAAACGAAACCAGCTCAAGCGATTTCAATCATAGAGTGTGACATGCAGGTAGGGTTGTTAGTGGGAAAGTAATTTTATACATGTGAAAGTGATAATTACATTAAATGATTAACTATGCAGTGAGTTTATAGTTATTGCAAACTAAAAGTGTTATTTTGTGACATCTTTTACTTGGCAATGACACAACATGGATTCAGTATTATTACTCTCATAAAAGCATGAGATATTATTTAAAACTAATTTCAATCTAGTTTCTGTTATTAATTTTCTTTTTTTCTAATGTTGTAAAAGTGCTACATGAAGCAGATTACTGCAAGAGATTAAAAAAAAACGCTTTCGGTCCTTGAAACCCTCTCCCTTTTTGTCGTCGCGTAATGTTATTAGCTTTTTAAAATGGCCTTAAATTTGAAAAAGTGACTGAAATCACAAAATGAGACTGAGGTTACCCTGAAAACTGTAAGAGAGGAACACTCTGCCATGATCGTTATGCTTAATTGAGGACTGATTACGAACACTTTTAGTCGATTGGTTTTCCTTTGAGCCACGTGCCCGCCAAAGGTTACGTTACAAACCTTTCTTGAAACCGTAGACTCAATTAGCAAAGCATTGAAGTAACGCATCATTTTGTTACAAAAGTTTGAAACGCATTTTTTATTTTTAGCTGTTATTGAATAAATAATAGTAAGAATGTGAGTACCCCATAAACGAACTGAAATATTCCACCAGACGATTTTATTTGTTTCTCAGGTCGAGTTTGCAGCTCCCGTGGGATATGTTGAGCCAAGCCGATCAGATAACGGTAGAAAGGATTCTCAAGAGGTATCTTTCATGATTTGTTGAATATCAAGAGACAGTATTTTTCGGTCGAAAAGTATGAGGTAAAACAAAAATGAGGATAAATATTTCGGGTAAAAACTAAACGACCGGACACCTAGTTCCTTATTCAAAACTGTTCTTTAAGTATCAATATGTTCCATCGAAACACCTGTATGTGTGAAAAGACGGAATCAAGATTAAAATCGAAAAGAATTCTTTTTGAGTTGTTTGTGAAATAAAAATAAATATATTTCAATATATCCCCAAAATAACGAGGCCACTGACGTAGATTGTAGATTTATCCTTCTATTAAATATCTCTCTAGAATATTCAATACGGCTAATTTCCTTTCTTTCCTTCCTTAGATTGATGTTAAATCTGTAACCACAAACAAACCACGTTAATTCCATTGTATGTTGTGTTTAAATAGCTTTTATCTATTGCAGAACGCAATGCCAAGTATACCAGCTGAGCTAATAAAAACACCCAAAGTTGTGAGTATTACTTTAAAAATTGCGCACTTCTTGTTCTATAGATAGATATTTGAAACGCCTTTGAACTAAAGGCAATAGATGTTAGGTGGCGTGGAAGGAAAATTTTGACGCTTTCACGATAATTTAAATTCAATACAGCGAGTTGAAAAAGTGAGAAAAAGTAACAATTTGTCCAAAACCCATTCGAGAAAAGCCCCTCTATAGCAGAATTGCCACGCATATTTGTAATTTGTATTGCTTGTTCCGCGTTGAACAAATCTTGAATGTATCGTGAATCTCCCTGTAATAGTGTAGAGTTTAAAGAGTTGATAAAATCTCAAATTAGCATAAATAATCAGCATTCGTAAGCAACAGCCAATTTCAAGATCAGTATCTTTCTTCGTACATCTTTTGTTAAATGACGAAACTAAAATTCAGATTCTTTTGGATCTAAAGTTATCCGATGCCCAGTACTCTGCGGCCGGAAAAAACACCCTCCTCAGTTTAGGGTTTTACGGGATTTTTGATGAAATACCCTCGCTCCTTATTTCAATTCCCCATTTCATCGAAGAAAACATCCTTTCGATTTATTTAAACAATCCTATTTAGGGCGTACTCGGTATTTTGAAGGTTGACCGCACCCTCCCCGCCGTTTACCAATACCAAACCGTTTATTGAATTTTATCAGGACCCCCGATTATTACAACCTACCCTTTATTCTTGACCTGAGAGTACCACAAATAATGTTAACTGTTTCCCTTACTTTTAGAAATTTCCTGGAGCTGGCTTACGTCCTGACGGAAAAGGCATCAAGAAATGTCAACAACAGACAGATGAAGCTACACCAACTGAAATAAAAAAGTGGGTTCCGCATTCGTTTCTCTGTGCCTTTCTTTTACTTATATATTGGATCGGTTCGTTTATGGTCAGTTGAGGTCTGGATCTACACTTTCCATAACCTCATTCCTAAGTTCTTTGGAAAAAACGCTTTGAAATTTACATTAGCAGTTGTTCCGTTAAAAGCGTAACACATGTCATAGTTATATTATCAGGTAAATTGATACAGGTACAGAGAAAAAGTTGAATTGTGGGCGATTGTTGAATTGTGGGCGTTCCTGTTGAGTTATTACCACAGGCGCTACCCCAAGTCCTTACCCCGACGTTTCCTTGCCCTTTGAATGTACCCCTTAAATAACAAGGGATCTCGAACCGAAAGGTGTGCTGTGCCTGTGTCGTATTTTGAAATGAAAATTGTCCCTTTTGAAGCGAACTCGAATTCGATGTCAAATAAGCCTGACCGAGCACCCTAATTCATTTGCAGTTCTGCATTTTATTCAATATTCTGTCGAAATTTCTTTCAAGTATCCAGCCTGATACAAAACAACAACTGTATGGTCTATTTGGGTTATTATCGGTCTAGAGTCGGTGCATAAATGATAGAAAAATTAGTGAATTAATCCATCTAGATTAAAACTTAAGCTGCGGAGGCGAGAGAGTGTAGAAGGAACTTCGCTGGGCTGTTTCGCTGCCCTTTAAAGTTTGTCAATATGAAAGGAAGATTTTTATTAAAAGCCAAGTTAATTCTTTCCCAATCCTGCATTTCGATGTTGCTATTCAATGTCATTTTCAATGAGGTCCTTTTGGTCCTCAATATTGCAGACCATTCGCTTGTCACAATTCTGTCTTTTCGTGTAATAGAATCAAGCAAATGAAGTTTTTCAAGTAAAATCCGATTGCTCTTTTCCCAGGTTTTTTTATGCCAAAATTTGAGAATCTGATTTAGTCTGTAACGCAGCGCCTCCAAATATTTATTCCTACTTTTAGGGGTGTTCCTGACTTGAAGTGGAACAAAAAGAAGATCATTTTTGTTAGAAACCGTTTGCATGCAGAAAATGATAAACAGGTATGTGCTAAAAGAAATCAGGTATCAAACAATTTTGTCAATTACTTTGTAATTAGATTCTGCTACTCGTGAATCCGATACTCTAGAAAAGGAAACTAGAGAATCCAAATCTAGAGAATCATAGACACAAGGATCTGAAACTAGAGAATCAGACAATGGAGAATCCAAAACTCAAGAATCCAAGATAAAAGATCAGAAGCTCGAGAATCTGCAATCAGAGAATCAGAAACTAGAGAATAATCTTTTGGTGGTACAAAACTTGTAAATAGCTTTGAAAAAAGCAAACATTTAGTAAACTAAAGCTTTTCATCTGACACTCTTCAGAGTTTAAAACGTCAGAACATAGATCGAAAACTCTACGCTAAGAAATATATATACCCAGTTGTGGATCGAAATAGGCCAATCAGAAACACGAGCACATGACTGTAAAGGTTGACCAATCAGTGCCGCTTGCCTATTAGAATGTTAACAATGGAGTCCTAAGGTGAAAACGAACTCCTTTTGTCTACACAGTAGCGGTTTTTTCGTGCTTATGTAGATAGATTCTAAAACTGCTAGGTGGAACAACGATCGGGCTTTACCAATAATCCGAAACATGTCGCCATTATAGTTTTTTGCACAATCTGGGTTTTCTAGCAAATGCTGCCCGATAGCAGAATCGCAGGTTTTATTAGTAATTTTGGATTTGCAAGATCGAGGTGGCTGTTCTCTTTGGGGATGTGGTATATATATTTCTTAGCGTAGAGTTTTCGATCTATGTTCTGACGTTTTAAACTCTGAAGAGTGTCAGATGAAAAGCTTTAGTTTACTAAATGTTTGCTTTTTTCAAAGCTATAAACTAGAGAATCTAAAACTCGATTACTCTGCCGTTGCTCTTCCTATGTTGAACATCGTTACATGCTTGGTCTCTCAAGATATGGAATTATTAAAGTCTCTTGCGCAACCGGCATGCTTAGCGGAAGCTGTCTTGAGAAATCAATTGTGTTTTGTATTTTCATGCAGAACGATGTTATGCTGGTTATGAAGTCGTATAGTCGCAAGGCATGCCGGTTGCCCAAGAGCCTTTAACTTCCAGAGTTCCCTTCCTGTCGTCATACGCAAGATAGACCGATAAATATTTTGCAAACAACCCGCCTTTGACATTATAGAATAAGTGCGCAATCCTTGATATTCTTCTGAAAGTACAAATTTTCCAACTTCCGACATTCTTTTCCTTTATTCTAACTTTGCCTGATATAATGTTACAATTTCAGAATGAAGCACAAAGTCAAGAGACAAAGCCGTTCAGTGGGGATGGAAAAACGCTGAGGCAGAAGAAATTCTGAAGCATATTCGTGTAGGCTATCTAACTTATTTCAATTTAGAATTATAAGCTGTAAATCTTGTTTATATAAGCATTCACATATATTATACATTGCCCCTGTTTTGTTTTTATCATCTGCTCAGTGCTGGGGTGACAGTTAACAATGGTTAGGGAAGCAAGTATCGTACCGTGGGAGCAGGCTCATATCTCATGGAAGAGGGTGTGGCTGTTGGCTGCAGCGTCATTCTTTGCTAAATTATTAATCAAACAGGGACAAAAATTGTGAGTATATTTTTCGGTAGATATCAATTGAAAGTTACGATCCCCTTCACCTCTTGACAACAAAGTAGGTTTTCTCAGAAGTATGGGAGGCCTTAGCTTTAGAAAGCAAACAAATGATATAACAGTTTTAACTTCAAGCCATACCATTTGAATTGCTTCTCAAAAATCACATGATGTCATACACGAGCCATTTCTAATTCTGATACTACCTTCAAACTCTCCAAAGGCATTCTACCTTATAATCAAGTTCAAGATAGCATACTTTGTGCTATCTTGAACCTGATTTTAACAATCTTAAAAGAAGATATAATTTTCGAACGAAACGTCTATAAAATACATTAAATTAGGATTATATTAAAAAAATTTCCTTATCTACATTTTGTGGAACCTAACTGAGTGTTGTCAGAAAAATATTAAAAATTGCGTGTAAATGTGTGCTAGGGTTTATGTTTTCAGTAGAAAATATGGTACTTAGGGTTAATGCTGCGACATCTTACAGGCAATACTACGCAATGTATATACAATAAAAAGACGCTGTACAATAATTATAAATTAAAGTAAGTTAGGAAGCTATTTGCATTAAACAGCGTTATTTATCCACTCTTGTGCCTCCTTTCCAGTTTTCCAACTATTCAAACCGACAACCACTTCGAGGGTGATTTCAGGTGGAGGCTTCAGTTCTGTTTCTTGTATTTCGCTCAACTGTTTGCTGTCTTTTGTCTTGACGCTTTTGTCTTGTTTCTCGGGTTTGCCCGGCCTAAGGGACAGCGCTGATTTGTTTCTTTGCCCAGTTGTAGAATTCGCTGGTGATGGTTTACGTAACTCTAAGAAGTAAACAACCAACATTTTGAGAACAAGAGCCTGTGATAGTGTATGTTTGCCAAAGAACAGTTGCCAAAAACAGTAAACAGTATTAGACTATAGGTTTAACTACTCTCCTCCGCAGAGGCTATTATATAGGAAGATAGGGAGTGAGAAATTTTCTTCCTTCTCCTCCCTCACAGCTCCTCCACTTTTCCTTTTCTTCCGCAGTTCCCTTTATCCCATCCTTCCCCCCTCCCCAATAGCCTCTGTGAAGGAGAGTGAGGTTGAACTAAGATGGAAAATGCTATAACAAACTATTTTCGATTGAGAACTTCCAATCTCTGTTTTACGAACTGATTAGTATCTATTAAATATTCATAAACAAAGTTCGCATCGCTTTAAACTTTATAACATACCTCTTCCCTTGGATTTGCCTTCTACTACCGGCGGGTTCTTGCTTATTAAAGTCTTTGATTCTTTGGTGTCGTCCTGTTGAGGCTCCCCTACCTTGTCATTTGTCTCGGGTACAATGAAAGTGCACTGCTTCTCAAAAAAGCTGGTCCCTTAAAAAGAGATATCGCTCACAATGATGTTTCATGAAGAAGTAGCATTGGTTTAGGTAATTTCAAGGCAAAAACCAGGTTATGTTACAGTAAATAGTTGTTCACGATTTAATAAGTATAAGTCGAATATTTCATAAGTCTAGCTCTTAGATATATGGCCAGTCCGGACTAATTTGGCCTATACGAAGTTTTCTGTTAGTAAAACACTATTAATGATTGCTGGATAGATGAGAAACCAGTAGTGCTTTCAGCCGGGTCTGGGGCAAGTACACAATCCCAATAGAGTTTACAGAAGATTCTTAGCACAGTAGCACGTTGACGGGGCTGTGTAAATGGGAGTAAATGTGTAAGTGTTTGCAAATAAAGGTTGTTTGCTTTCATTTTGTGATGCCTAATGAATTATGGCACAGCTTGTTGTACCGGTACGCCCACCAGTTTATATAAGCTTAAAATTGTCTCTAAATATGAAAGATTTCAAGGAGTTGGTAATCTTAAAAACAAAGACAGACATTTCTCTGACGATCCTGAATGAAATCCAGATATTGATCAAGTAAAGTTCTTGACCTATTGACTCTTACTTAAGATATTCTCGTTATGAACTTTTCTTGGGTTTTTTATATGTATAGAAAGCCAGTATGCAGAATGATAGGTCATATGATTATGATTATGATGATACCTTTCAAAAAGCTTTCCAAGGAAATATGCATATGTGCCACCGTCCTTGACTCCCGCGACAACTCATAAAGTGGCAATTCTTCACCTTTGTTCCTCTTTCGGTTCTTCGCTGCGTTGGCCTAAAGTTTAATTTAAAATTTGACAATAATTTGATAAATTAGAAACAAGCTTTCATAAAGTGGATCCGAGTTATTGTATACACTGAATGCGATAAAATTTCTATAATAACCTTATCTTAAATGTGCATTCGGTTTCGATTTAACAAGAGATCGAATGCCACTATTTATTTGTAAACGGGATGACAATGCCCAGTTTTAAAGAAAAAAATTCACGGAAGACATGGTTGCAACTTTCAATTGGTAAGAGATATTGATCTGCAATTTCAGATATTTTCTAACAAAGGTGGTTTGATATAATGGATGGAATATCAATCAGATGGAATATGATCTCAGAGCGTGGCTTAGAATTTCAGAAAATCTGGATGCATGGAATTACAATGATACTTGCATCAGAGAAAATTGCTGATGGATTTATTTAGCGAATTCGGCAAAGATTCTAGAATTATCATGAATTGTCTTTCAACAAACTTTTCCCCATTGATAGCCACAAGAATACATTTATAATTAGAGCATCTTCATGAAATGCCTTTTATGAAATGTACCTTGGGTGGCGGAGGTTGTTTTTGCTTCTCTTTCCCCTTTTGTTTGCCCCCTTTGTTGGTCTTATCTACGAAAGAAATTCATCAATTGTAATCTTGAAACACAGTATGATTTCTCACGTTACATCTTGTTTTGAACGAATTATTTTCAAAAATTTTAAACGATTGATCTGTGTGATATTTGCATAAATACCCTTTAGATAATACATTATTAAAAAAGATGAAGATATCAAAGATTTCTTAAAAAATATAATTAAGTATATTAAAATCCCAATTGTAAGTCAAGAGAAATTCTCAGCTACAAGTCAAATAACTTTGTCCATTTTTTCCGGTAAAGAATTTTACAACAGCATTAAAAAAGACAACTTTTTGAAAGATATTGTTCAAAAAAAAAACATTTTGAAAAAAATAGTTTGCTTTTTCAAAGCCAATTTTCTACATCAAAATATATATTTATGCTAACAAAACATATAATTTTCATCTCGCTTAAACTCCTAACAAGGAGATATATAATTTTTGATAAATATTTCTTACAAGTTTACTTGACAGTAACCAGATAATGAATGTTTCGCGACATTACCCTGATCTGCGTCGCCGAGAACAGAAGCAGTCTCTTCCGGAGGATCCAGACTTACAAGAACTTTGTTCTCCACAAGATTGATCGTGATTCCTTCGGAAAAAAGTTTCTTTAAGTTTGAGAGGTCCCCAGAAACGAGTTTTCGTTCGTGACTAATATTGATGCTTTCGTCACACCAGCTTCTTTCTCTTGATTTTCTTGTCAATAGATAATCTCCTAAACGAAGGCAAAATATATTTTTAATTCAAATAAAAAAAGGCTGCAATGCTTGATGTTGCAAGAAAAAATGCCTTTTGGTACATTCTTGGAAAAAACCCAAGTGTATGCTTAATTTACAAAACACAAGAACAACAAGTTATAAAAGATAAAATAATAAGATCGGAACATAAACTTTTGATCTGGCAACAGTGGCAGTTTTAGGGACTGCAGGGCCCAAAAAAATCTACTTGACCTTTGTTCTTTACAATTTTCATCTTTTTTCTCCGGTGTGGGGCCCTTTTTGGTTACCATAAGCGCCCTGGACCCCCTTAAAACTGCCACTGTCTTGCAAAGATGGACATAATGACTGTGCCATCGCAACGAAATTCATGTTTTAGGCTGAGGAAAGAGCGATGTATTTGGATTTCCACTCGGTAGATTGCAAATAAGAAAACAGTACTATTTAAGCAACTATGCCTTAAAATGTTGCAACTTTTCGGGTCAGTCTGAGTCTTTCAAAAGGAACACTGTATTTTTCAAATTTAAAGTGTGTATCATACATGCCCATGTTGAAGCAATCCCTTTTCTAGGTCAATTCCACTCATTTATCGGTCAGTTCAGTGACGAATTGAACTCTCACCTTCTTTGCGCAACATGCAAACATCAACTTGTGTCACATCATCGTCTGTCTCACTGGCACTGACCCTGTCTTCAATTTCATGACCGGATTCGTTTGGATCTAAAATTGAGATTTTGTAAAAACAAAGATTTATTATCAGTGTGAAACTCGCTTGGGCATCCAAGGAAAATCAAGCTACAGTGGAATCCCGATAAAACAAACTTTGAAGGGGACCACAAAATAGTTCGTTATATCGGGAAATTGTTAACCCGGGAGAAAACTTTTTTAGGCCATTTCGTAGTACAAGCCTAAAGATTCTTTTGGTAGGCTTGTTTAGACTTCTGTATACATTTCACTCCAAAAACCAAGCTAAATTCAAATAAATGGTTAATCATCTAGAATGAAGATCTTTATATTCCTTTTATAATTAGGGACCAAGAGATTTGCAAAGCTAGATCACTTCACTTCTAGTTGGCGGCTAGATGACGTCTTCGATTACTTCAATTTTTTATTGTGTCATCAGCATATTTTGCCGATAGCAATAATGATTTCCCCCAAAAGAAAGTGACAAATGGTATTCAAAGCTGTCATCTTTTATGTTGATGACTCTTTAAACAATCTGAAAACCAAAAGAAACAGAAGGCTTGTCGGCGAGGTTGATTGGGTATATTCCCCTGCTCTTCAAAGAACTTTAATACAATAGATTAGAAAAATATGAGTTTTGCGTTAAAATCAGGGTCCAAACCTTGTTCGTTATCGGTGACATGGCACTGCCTCTTTGGCTGTTTCCTTACTACTGCATCAATGAGAAATGGGTAGGATATGTGATAACGGTACTCTATTTTTGGGAACTCTTCAGTGCCATCAACCTAAAGGAGGTAAGAAGGTGTTGACGATCGGTCACACGATATCTACAATTTAAGTGCAATGTTTGTAACAAAATGTTCCCTGCTTACATTACTTTACAAAATAACAGAGTATATCTAACAATCTTCCAAAATATCCCAAAAATATCGATCTTGTTCATTTTGTATTGATTTTATCTTGTTTAAAATCGATGTTGAATGAAATTACAAACATCATACCTTTTTCTCTGTAATTATATCATACATTGTCTATTTCAACGATTTTTAGCCAATTAGAAATGCAATACATTTCAAGTTTATAGAATTCTTCCGCTCTCTAGCTCATGAAGGAAGCATCAGTTCGAAAGAAAAGGGCGAATTAAGAAAACAAACCGCTGAATCAGATGGTGGCCTAACCCCTTTGAGAGAATTGAATTTGATGTCACATACTGCTTCAACGTAAGAAATACCTGAAAAATCAACAAAAAGTATTCTAACAGATAGAAATGCGGTACGACGCGATGCTCTAAAATTATAAGCACTTAGCATTTGGCAGTTCCTGGATAATTTTCCGTATACATAAAGCAATCCCACAGAAATGCATCGTTGGTGCATCCTTTCGAAATGCATTGAAATTGGTAGCAGATATCAAGGCTATGGGCAGTGATTGCATTAAATAACTTTGGATGATGGGCAGGTAATGTAAAACACCTATAAAGTTGAATCTCTAGAAAAAGTCGAGTTGACTTAAAAAAAGCCATTTACACTCAGGTTAAAAATCGACCACTTCTCAATGTGGTCTATAACTTTCTGTAAATCCTCTTCGAAAGGCTCCTCCATTTAACAGATCTTATCACATTATTGATCTTTCCTTTCCATTGAAAAATTGATATTGACAAAACAAAATTGATATTCAAATGTATAAATTCAGATACGACGTTCGATGCAGTAGACCTAAATAGGTAATGGGTGGGAATATAGTTAAGCTTTGGAAAATCAGCCAAAAAATAGAATCTAAGCTTGAATGACAATAGAATCTTTTGGCCATATGCTGAAAGTCTAAACAAAAATCACATTTCCCTAGCTTTATCCTTTTTTTAGAGGTTCTAATTTTTAATAAGAGTGAGAATATCATAAAACTTTTGTTAGCTTAAATGGTAATAGAAAAGAACACTTTAGAGCAGACAATGAGATGGTTTGCCATCAATCAAAACGGCGGGATACAAATGGTATTATCATAATATAACTTGACAAACCCTCAATGTATGCTTGATAATAAAAAATCGATTGTCTTTTGCAAAATGTTGTTTAGGCTATGAACCATAAGACCCATTGTATTTGAGAGCGGTCTCCTTTAACAAATATAAATGAAACAAATTTCCCACCATTTACAACTATTTCCGCAGTCTCACAGAAATTGTTCTTGCACAATTTCCTTTCCTAACTATACCATTTCGAAGGGATAGCAATTTTGGTTCAATTTTTGGACAGTTGTTAACCTATTTCCCAAGTATTTTTGGGTAGCAAAAAACTTTAAATGGCTTTATAAACAAATGTTTTATTCTAGAGCTTTTTCATTTTATCCTTAAGTCTGATACTTTTCAAAGTATAAAGTCCATCAGAAAATTAGTCGAAAATGCTAAGCAAGGTAACATATTCTCCAAGTTGTTGATGGAAAGAAGCCAATCATGAGCAAGTGACAGGTAAGGTCTTCAAAACGATTCCTTCTGTCTATACAATAGCTGGTCTGATTCATTTTACGTACTTTGATTATTATCATTATATGGGTTCCTTAAAGACTCATTGCTAACGCTGGGCCTTGCTAACGTGGCGACGATCCAAACAATGGCAGTAAATTGTCTTCAATGGCAGTAAATTGATTTCAGACTGTCTAAAAATGCACTATGGGATGCTTGCGTAGCGCAATGGCTCATTGTTAGCAATGAGTCTTTAAGAAACGCCTTAAAAATATCAGTTTGACACGCAGTCGTTCTTTGCAACCTCTCAAAATATTCTAAGATGAAAATAAAGCTCTCTAAATAATCTCAAATGAAAATAAAACTCTCTAAATATTCCAAGATGAAACCATCAATTTACCTCTGATCTTGCCTATTCCGTTGTATCGATGTTTCTCATCAGCAGTGATTCTGACATCATCAAGAATTTTGAGTTGCTTCAATGTGTCGACTGTAAGCCCTCGATAACTGGCAGCCAACTTTAAATCAAACAAAACACAAGTCAGTTCAGTGTAACGGCCATTACATGAGCAAGCATACTTAGATGCAATTCATTCATTAGCGTGGAAGATTCTAGTGTGTTGGCTTATAAAACTTGGCTTCACATAAACAGCCTATAGTTTGAGGAGTTATGTACATATCTGAAGACTGTCTTCAGCATCTAGTTGTACTTAGGGACACAGTCAATCTCCCGATTTATTGCAATTGGTGAATGACCGAAAAACTTCATTGATAACTTTAAGCCTTAACTGATAGTGTTACTTCTGTTTTTAACAATGAAAAGTTACAGAATGGCTCAGAAAAGCTTTGCCTCTGCTCTTTCCTGCTTTTTTCACAACATAAATAAGGAAAGTGAAAATAAATCTTAAAATTTGACGCAAGTTTTAAAAAATTAACTGGTCTTGGCCAACATTGTTTGTAGAGGGAGAAACTTTTGGCACCAACTTGCACTATTCCCATGAATGTGTGGGATCTTCTGCCTATCCAAAAAAACTTTCTCATGAAATTATTATCAAGTCTGGGAACAGTTCGCACCAGGCAGTACAAAACGCTCCCTTTTTATCACAAATCACAAGGGAGAAATTTTAGAATCACAGATGGCATCTGGTATTCTAGATGGACACCCGTATAAAGATTTTCTATTTAATAAGGAATCATTTTTAAAGGTCGTGGGAGGTAATTGCTTTCCCAAACGGGTGTACATTCTATAAACCGCATTAAGAAACATTTCCAGAATCAAAATCTCAGAGCTGTGGAAATTATGCAAATGTTTTTGAGAAAACAGAATTAGGGAACGGTATTTTAAGAAATTAGCCTAAGGGAAAGATAAAAAACATATCATCAAAAACTTCTCACATAGGTGTAAGGAGGCGAGGAATTTTAGAACGAACTCTAGAAAATAGTGATGAGGGCAACAAATTCTATTTTACCTGGGGAAGTCGTAAAAATCATGGAAAAAGCAGCTAATTGTGAAAATTCTCCCAAACCGTAAATATAGCTCGAGCTTCCACAAGGTGGAAAAATTGGTAGGAAGATTCCTTTCCCAGTCTAAAGTATTTCCTTTAACCAACACAAATAAAGCAATTACTAGACAATGTTGACAATGCTTTCTACTCACACATAAAGGATTGCCAATCAGTAACAGGTTGCTGAGCTTGGGCAGATGTTTTAATGCTTCCAAAGTCTCCTTCAGGTTCGCCAAAGAGTTAAATGAAAAGTCAAGTGATAGCATGCTCCTCCTGCAAGACAAAATAGTTTTTGAAGCACCCTTATGCAATTAAACAAACCTGCATTGTTTTTTGCTTCAATAAAGCATCCAGTTTACGGCTAACTGCAAATTTTCAACTCATATTTGGCCTGCATTTCAAAACGAGAAGAAGGCTAATAACTTATCCTTAAAGCTTGTGAAAAATATATGATAATTTATGGGGTCTAAAAATGATTGGAGACTTGCATACGATATAAGTAAATTCATCAGGTGACAAAAGAGGATCGTTATGTAATATGATTTATGCGTGCAAATTCTGACTTTAAAGGGAATTCCTTAGGAATTTCTAAAAGCATCAAACCCCACTAGGCTTAGTTCTTTAGGTTTTTAACCTATGTTAGATTAATACAGCTTTCTATACTAATCACACTTTTGTTTATTTTAGTTCCGTCATTGCTCCAACCACGTGGCTGTAGGTCATTGCTTGAGCAAGAGCCATACCTCAGGGGGGTAGGCTTAAAAAAAAGAAAACAGATATATAACAAACAGATATATTGGGACAAAATCAAGGTCATAGAATTGTAAATATGCCAAATTTTCACAATATCATTTGGAAAAACTGTAGCCAGAGGGGGCAAGCTGTTGTCAAAATTTTCATTTGGGGGGCACAGCCCCCTGTGCCCCCTGCAGCTGCGTGGCTGCATTACTCTGTGGCAGATGGACTTCAAGTTTTAATTATGATGGGAAAATACACTAAACGGTATTTGATATGAGATTATCAGAGACTAGGAGAAATTGACTGACGATATGAACAGGAAAACTGCACAATCACCGGGAAGGTACGCATAAGGAGCAAAGTTTCCCTCTTGCGGCCCTTTTGGTCACATGACTTGCAAACAATTAATTGAGCAAAGGAAAAAGAGATAAATAATTACCAACACGATGGATGGAGCATCGCCGAAATATCTTGAAGTGAATTACAACCAACTCCAAGATGAACCAGCTTTGAAAGATTGCAGCAAAATTTTTCGATAGTTGATAAATCATTGCCATACAACTCAAGTACCTTGAAGAAAAAAACAGTGGTTGAATAGCTATCTTATGAATATGACTAAAACTGTTGTATTTGAAGATGTGCAACATAGAATTAAATAGGCTGAATATTTGACTAAACGTTCTCTAAATGGGTTAAATAAACCTTTCGAAAATTGATCTCCAGGCAATCTGATTCCATGGTGTCAGCACGTTAACAAGAAAAGATAACTCTTCCCAGGGCTCTCACCGAGTTCAGTGTCGTTGACCCTTCTCCCACAATGAAGTCATAATATACATGTTCCGATTATCTTATGATTTGAAAATGTGCAACATAGCATTAAATAGGCTAAATATTTGACTAAATGGGATAAATAAACCCTTCAAAAATTGATAATGGGATCCTAGAGCTTACACATGTTCCATCGTTGGGGTGCAAACTGTTGGTATTGGTATAATTGATTCATTACTCCTTGGTAGGGGCAGAGATTAATTTCTGGCGTAGTGCATCCCATTCATTCACAGTTCTTTAAAGGTTACCTAATGAATTGATAGGGCAGCAACCAATCTTTGGTACAAAAAGGGTTAAACAGACTTGTAAAGGTTAGAGATGTTGATGAGGCAAATGGATTGTTGATTGGATTTTGTCAAGAAGATACAAAAAAGATTTGGCAGCACCATCCCAAATACAAGAGCAATACCCTAAATCAAGGACGAATAATAAATTGTTTGTGAGGGTGAAAAAATCTAACATTCTAAGAGAGGACCAGAGCATTGGCAGACACCTGGGGGGGGGGGGGCATCGGAGGGTTTTTGAGATAGGTGACTTCACCTATTCAGAGGGAAAATACAGAAAGGCCAGGTAATTGAGATTCTTATAAAATAATCCCAGTTCACCAATAGGATTACCTCTAGACTCTTTGGTATGTTCTTTAGATTAATGGTGTTTATCCTGTTGGCACTGAGTGATATCTTTTTGAGATTGGCAAACTTGAGCAAGCTCTCATCAATGGTGTTTATCTGAAAATATAAGCATGTTTCTAAAAAGCATTTATGACTCGATTAACACTGATAATTATTAAAAAGTGATGGTTCTTGTCACTAAACAGGTTTGACAGGTTTTGTAGATTTACAATAATTGAATAGATTTTAAGTAAAAAATAAAATGCTATATTTGCATCTGATAGAACTATATCTTACATTCATTCCAATCAATTGCAGCCTTGTAAAATATTTGAAAATATTATATCTTGTTATTTGACCAGGATTTGTGATAGCTAATTTTCTCAGTTCAATTATATCCTCACTCCAATCAGCACTCATTGAGAAGGGTTCAATTGATGAAACTTCAATCAAAGATTGGATTGATTCCCAATTTGCATTAGGATCTACAAAGTAAGAAAGGAGATGTGATTAAAAAAATCCCCTAATTATATTAGATACAGACAGCCTATTATTAAATAAACTAAAAAAATCAAATGAGCAACTGAAATCCAAAAATGCTTGCATTTACCTTTATTTGGGTTCAGCAGATCTGGAGAATCACATCTCCAAGTATTTCCACTCCTCTATGACAAAAATTAAATATAAAATAAAGAGAAAAAGTTGTAAGTAACACCTCACACATAAAAATAAACAACAAATTTACCTCATACTTACAAGACGAGCAATTTATAATCAATCTAGCAGATAAATACCATACAAAAGATCTATGGCATGTTGAGCATTCATAAGCAAACTTATATGCTAAACAAAATCAAGCACTTTTGAGTCTGGAATAAATATCCCCTCCCCTGCTTATTAAATCTTTCTAAAATAATCCACTCATGACATCCTAATTTCACACCATCCATTTATTATTTTAAAGCTTTGTCTTTTAAAAAATTTCAAGATAAATACACAGAGCTTGTTGAAGGGAAAAGAAACACATCAAGAACTGGAAGTTAGAGTAAAACATCTTTAAGAGCTTTAAGTCTTCATTATACTTTAATATAAGTAATAAATATATTTTCTTCTATTTTAAGAAACCAGTATCATATCTATCATCCTTCTGTTTCCGATTCAAAAGGACAGCTCCAGCTACACACCCCATTCATTATAATTTGGGAAATTCTCCGCCTATGCCCTTCATTACAGATCCCCTATCTATTCCAGAGTCAACAGTAGTTGTTCCACTTAAAGCCAAATCTTTGGTTGCAGGAACAAAGCTTAAGGTAAAGGTATCTGCATTAAAGATCTGGATACTTGATTTAAATTATTTCCCATAAACATCAAGTTTGTGACAAATTGTAATA